CTCTTTATTATATGTCCCATAATGGTGTAGTACCGGGTGTTTACCCTCAAATTGCGGGGTTTGGTTTTTATGACGTCTTTAATCCAAGATGGCCGCCATGTGTGACATCTATTCATTAAATTAATAATAACTCTTTCCAGAGTAAAATAATCGAATTTTAATCTATACCATTGAATTCAGCTCAAAACATCAAACAATTTGGTGTTTTGAATCATTGCTCTAAGACCATTGGTTACCGAGATATTGAAGGCGGAAAACACAGAACATTGTCCCAAAGCAAGACCCCACTACCCCCATGTTATCCTTATGGTGAAAAAATAAAATTGTATATCTAGCTTATTACTCAGCATATCTTAATAATAATTGGTATGTGGCTTCATTTAGTAGAGATCTACTTGATTATGGCCTAAAATCCCCCATTTTTACATTTCCAAGGCAACAAACCTGCATACTCACTTCCCATGGTATTCTTATGGTCAATATTTTTGCATGCTTGTTCATGAACATACTTTGAGAAATGATGATGTGTGGCTCCATTTTAATTATTTATTGAAGCATTTGCAATTCGTTGAGTATACAGGTCTGCTGCTACGGGGGTATTGTAGCTATAAACAAATTACAGGTATTAGAAAATCAAATAAATTAGACTATAGTTGAGAGGCATATGTAATTTTGTAGGATTTTGAATTAAGCAATTGTATGATTGTTGGCAATAGATAGGTAATGACATGTCTGAAAGTGTGGTCAAGCTGGTGTTTTTGGCCGCCATATTGGAAGGATCTTGGATCCGCCATATTGGATATTAATAACTTTTTTTATGCAATGCTAGTGTTGTGACACATCATTATGAACTAGATTTTCACGCTGATTTCAATGCTGAAATATGTTTTTAAATATCTTTTTTCGTTTGGAAGAGATATTCAAATAAAAACTCTCCCCATACATTTCTTACGGACGTTTCGTAAGGTCATGTTACAATTTTTAGACGTGGAACCTCTTAGTCTTATATGCCTCATCACACATAATTTACTTTGTACTTACACCAAACAAATGTTGTAACCCTGATGACCAGCCCTGTATGTCTTTAACTGCTTTAACCAAAGACAAATTTCAAAATAAAAATAATTATTAATGTTAAATAAAGGTCCATGATTAATTTTCAATTAGTCAGATTTCATTTAGTGATTAATACAATTTTAAACCAAACATTTACTGAGTAATTTGAGACTAGAATGAACCTTTTGACGTATTAATAACCCGAGATATAAATCTTTTAATAAAAACTGATTTGGAAAAAGTTTAATTTAATATTGTGTTGTGGTTCATAGCTCAACTCTAACTCGTCCGATTTTAATGATCGATAACTTAAATAAAAGCTCTTACATCACTGAATACTTTAAGACTAGAATGAATTACAAGCGATAATAAGAACTTGATATATGAGAAAAATAATCTGAAAAAAAATCAAAGTACGAAACGTCCGTAAGAAATGTATGGGGGGGGGGGAGTTTTCATTTCAATATATCTTCGAAACGAAAAACGATATTTACAAACGGTTTTCGGAATTGAAGTTAGCGTAAACATCTAGTTTATAATAATGAGTCACAACACCAGCATTAGATTTAAAAATTTGTATTAGTATCCAATATGGTGGATCCAAGACGGCGGGCCAAAAACACTAGCTAGGCCACACTTTCAGACAAAACACCCGGTAGTACACGATTCTATATGTCATTACCTATCTATCACCACCAATCATACAATTGCTTAATACAAAATCACAAGAAATTACATATGACCCAGAACTATAGTCTATTTTATTTTTATTTATTTTATTTTATTTTTATACCTATAATTTGTGAGATTTTTTTATTGCTACAATACCCCCGTAGCAGCAGACCTGTATACTCAACGAATTGCAAATGCTTCAATAAATAATTAAAATGGAGCCACACATCATCATTTCTCAATGTATGTTCATGGACAAGCATGCATAAATATTGACCATAAGAATACCATGGGAAGTGAGTATGCAGGTTTGCTGCCACGGAAATGTAAAAATGAGGGATTTTAGGCCATAATCAAGTAAATCTCTACTAAATGAAGCCACATACCAATTATTATTAAGATATGCTGAGTAATAAGCTAGATATACAATTTTATTTTTTCACCATAAGGATAACATGGGGATAGTGGGGTCTTGCTTGGGGACAATGTTCTGTGTTTTCCGCCTTCAATATCTCGGTAACCAATGGTCATAGAGCAATGATTCAAAAGACCAAATTGTTTTATTTTTTGAGCTGAATTCAATGGTATAAATTAAAATTTGATTATTTTACTCTGAAAAGCGTTATTATTAATTTAAAGAATAGATGTCACACATGGCGGACATCTTGGATTAAAGACGTCATAAAAACCAAACCCCACAATTTGAGGGTAAACACCCGGTACTACACCATTATGGGACATATAATAAAGAGATTCCACATAGTCGCACATTCCCTTCACAAAAAAACCCTCGGAAGCTGGATATGTGCAGTTTGCTCCTGGACTATTATGTTTCTTCACCAATTTATTTGTTTTATGGTAACTGTAGGAAAAGTATAATGTGCAACTCGAGTTCAAAGTACAATTGCCTCACTCGAGAAACCATTTCTCACTCGCCTACGGCTCGTGAGTAAGGATATCTCTCGAGTGAGTCAATTGCTCACTTTTCTCACTAGTTGCACAAATAACTATAGTTAGTTTGTAACCATGTATTATTATTGTGGTTACAGAATATTCACGATAGCATTGAATATTTGTATACGTTGAATGATTTAAAATGTTAATTTGTTCCCTAAACGATTGATACAGCACATACTTTGGTATATATTATTAGACAACTATATATATATATATATGTATATATATATATACTATATATAGTCTATATATATATACTATATATAGTCTATATATATATATACTATATATAGTCTATATATATATACTATATATATATAGTCTATAGTTGTCTAATAATATATACCAAAGTATGTGCTGTATCAATCGTTTAGGGAACAAATTAACATTTTAAATCATTCAACGTATACAAATATTCAATGCTTTCGTGAATATTCTGTAACCACAATAATAATTGTAACAATAATTGCTAATGTATTCGTAAATATATTTTCATTAATTGAATGATCTTAAGTGCTAGAGTAAAACTAAATGTTTACCAATGTCGATTCAAGACAAGAAGCTGGACATTACGGTGAGAAGGGGGACGCAACAATGGTCGGTTGCTTAGCAACCAGCAGGTGTACTGATTTGAATTTTGAATACACCGACTTTGTTTATTTACTTCGCCTTCAGTTACAACGATACCTTTTTCACATTGCTATACTACTTTTGTATGTTTTACCATAGATAAAAGGACTCCTTTTATATCTACGGTTTTACGTGCAAGCACTACGGCTACAACTTTGTCTATACAATGTACTAAATTGAGGTGTATGTCTGTCTTTCCATTACACAATAACTACTGGAAATCGACCATATTAATTTTAGAAACTTGATTTGTAGGACAAGAAAAAAGGTCTTTTCAACTAGCCCTAACTAATTGAAAAAACTTTATTTGAAAATTTTAAAAACGCAGAACTATAGATTGGTATTTGCACTACTATAAGCCGTTTAGAGTGCGTAGCTATCATTATTGGTTAATTCAAAAACTGTAATCTTGGAAACCTCTGCAAGCGCTTCTTGCGGCACTGTCCAATGCTGCAACCATTTGCAACATAGCAACTGACGCCCGAGCTGAGGTAGAGCGCACCCTTAAAAAGTCTCTTATTTGCCTGTTGCAAGTATTCAAATAATAATCAATGAGAAATGGAATCAATACTTAATTACATGTACTGTAAAGTGCTTGACCTTTTTTTTACAAACTCCTAATTTAAGCGTCAAATTTAAAAATAAACCTGGTATTCTCAAACATAATCCTTTACCTCATTAAATGTCATTGTATTCTGTACATTTGGACACATAGGCTACCTAATTGTATGGTGAATTAAATTTCATTGTGAATTAATCAAGGGACCTTAAATAGCTGAAAGATTGTAAATAAGATGATATATTATTTGATATTTTACACCAACAAAAATAGTAAAAAATGCTCAGGACATTCCTAGAACTCAACACAAACAATGAAAAAAGAGATGAGCTGTGAAAAAGATCATGTCCGGTTTGAGTGTTCTCTGCTACAAATCAGCTCTTGAGCTCCAATATATCAGTGACAGAACCTTATTGCCAAATAGTGTTGTAAAATGTGTCATGTACATTTGAGACAACATGGATTTATTTTTAAACTTTTTAACAATTTATTTACGTAGTGGCTTTACATCCTAGCTCTGTCACTGTGGCAAAAATAACTCCTTGTGTCAAAATACCTCGATTAGGTGTAGGGCCTATGTACTGAAATTCATGTTTTCATTACATGAAAATAGATATTTAAGTTTATGAATCCGAAGATCTTACAGATGAGTAGGTGTAAACTGGGTAGAGTGTTGAATGGATAAGATGATTAATAGCTCTGTTTAGCAGAACCATTTATTAAAGTCCCAATGATAAATGACATCTGGGTCCATTTAGGAGCAGGATACATACAAGGGAGGAGAGGTTATGGAGTTAGGACCCCTCATTTTAGAACTTATGAAGAGTTTTAATATCTGGTTCAATTTAGATATATTTTTTTACAGAAAAATGTATTAAATGAGACCATTTTTTTAATTTCTAACAATCACTAATTGCCAGGTCCAGTATTGATAATTAAAAGTACTTCAAAGCAGCAAAACCAGTAGCAATTCATCAAAAGCATCAAAAGTAGCAATTCAAAACCAGTCCAAAAACCCATCAACCAACCAAGCTCTACCATCCTTAAAATCAAAATCATTAAAATTTAAATTAAATTTGACTTAAATGCAAAAACGAGGAAGTAAAAGGTAAATGAATCATTTGAATAAACCTTAATAGCAATATATCTTTTTAAATGATCATATACAAAATTGTTGAATGGTAGTTGAAGGGCGAAAAGGTGGAATGATATGATGACTTGTCTTGGAGACTTTACATTCTGATCTGGAACTTGCCGGCTTTGGTGATGTACTTGACTCCTTTGAATGGTTTGTACTTCTCCCCATACATGTCCAATCTGTTGACCTTCAGGCCAGACACTGCCAGCTGATTGATGGTGAACTTAACCTGCAGACGACACAACATTAGATTATCATATTGTGACCCCACACAAAATCAAATAGTGATATCAATTTTACTTTCTCTATAAATGACTACCGCAAATCTCACAGCTCAAAATCGGCAGGTGATGTTAAGCTCTAACTTGATACAAGATTACATTTAAGATCACTATAATTAATCAAAATAACACAGTACTTAGTTACTTTGTTGTACTACTACTTTGTTTTAAGTTCATTTTTCGTGATGGTGAGTTTACATCATCTAACAAGTTATAGCGGACATTTTAAATTATGGTTTATAAAATCAAAGTTTTCAAGACGTTTTGGAATCTGGAATCTGACTAAGAAAATGTAAGTCTACATGTATGTAGTTTTATGTGTTCCTATCATGTTGTAATGTTTTAGGGCTTTTATGATTTTATTTTTACGATGTTTGTATTTGACTACTATACTGTTCGGGGGTGGTTTTTATTCTGTTGGCCAGCTTATCGGCTTGGTTTAAATGCTATTCTTGTAATGTTTTGTATTTATCTCACCCGATGAAGGAGTCAGTGTCCAGATCCTGGAACGTTGCGAAAACTTGTTATTACAGTACAAATTGTTATAGGAAATTTCCGCAATAACCTACTAGATAATACTAGGTAGTTTTACTTTATTAATATCTGAATCAAGACTTTTTTTACATTTATCTTCTCAATACTTCGGAGGTAAAATGATCCTCCGATTTATAGTGTTATGTGTTATGTTAAATTATTATTTGCATCTTTTTAAATCTATTAACAGTCTCAGACTATTCAAGTGAATTTGTTAAGTTAGCTTTCCTTATTAAAGTAAATATAAATTTACTTACATTAATTGTAGGATTTGACTCCACTGGTGGCGCTCCAGATTGTAAATTGATCTGAAATCAAAGAATTTCAATACTAAAGGGTGTCCCAGTAAGAACGCCGGATTTGAGGAGCGTCTTATCCTTATCTGTATTTCAATAGGAATTCCCAAATTATCAGCGATGTTACCCGTATTAGGTCCCATTTGTAGTCATGAATCGCTACACGACGTAACAACGCGTGGTCATAGTTAAAGTGCACTACAAGTACGGAAGCTGCGCACTATTTACGGCCGGGACAATGCACCAAATGATCCATCTGTCCGAAGATTGGTTTATAAGTTCGAATAAATTGGCTCAGTTCTATACTGGGGATATTTAAAGTCGCTTGTTTTCGCCAATAACCCTCAAACAATCCAAGACTTGAAGGAGGAAATGATTCGTGCCATTAATGGAATTCAACAGGAAGTGTGTGAAAAAGTGATGCAAAACTTTGTCAAGAGATGTCGAGCTTGTCAGTATTCAGCAGGTTGGCACTTACAAGACATACTACTCAATTACTAATCGGAGATATTATGCTTTAAGATTCATGTTTCATATTGTAAATTTAGCGAGAAAATATATGGTTTGTTAACATTTCAAATCCGGCGTTCTTATTGGGACACCCTTTATATTGGTCATGGAAAAAGACATCGTTTGAATAACAATTTAATTTCATATAACTTTATTCATTAAAGTACAATACATAAATACATGAATGGTGTCAAGAGTAATTTAACAAATCTAACTTAACCTTACTTTACTTTACTTAACAAGTAGCTTTAATACTTCCGATAGACAAAAGCTCATGGCACAAATTATTAAAAGATTTATGCCAGTTATAATTATGGTTTTTATTAGATAAAATGCAATAATAAAATTATTCACTGATGTATAACATACCGAGCCGCGGATGTTGGGCAGTTTATTGGTGTCAATTCGGCCGACGTCCCAAACCAGTACTCGACTGACAGGGTCAAACGAATACTTGCCTTGCGACGGGTTGAGAACACAGTTGAGAACTGCCTTAGGCATGGGGATCTCTATGACTACGTTCTCTACCTGGAAGATGAATGAAAATGTAGATACAGCCGAAAACAAAAGAACTTACAGTAAAAAATGAATCAGCTGATTTTTCTTATTAGATACTCTTTGAGGTAGCTGTAATCTTATGAAGTTTTACAGTCTTGTACTACATGTCTCGACACTGATAAGTTATGCATCAATAGTAAAGAAAATTATGAACTTAAAAGTAATAGGCTACTTTGATTGAGTAGCCTAAAGTACTACACTTTTCAAGATTCAGGCATATTTATTAAAATATAAAAGGTTTAATTTACCTGTTGCGTCAATTGATCCTTAAGTTATGAAATAACTACGGCCGTTTCGTACTGCTAAACGAGTACATCTTCAGGTTGTCTACGAACGTTAAAATACGGCCTTCTCATCCGTGGATGGAGTCGTCAGCACATTTAGGACACATAACACGAACACATAACGAAACATTAAAATATTTACAATTAAAAACTTGGCCAAGTAGTCCGAACACGAGAGTTGTGTAACCGGTAGGTAGCGTTAGATGATAAGTCATGACTGTAGTTATACTGTAGATACTGACTGTAGATTTTTTAACAGTCATGACTCATCATCTAACGCTACCGGTTACACAACTCTCGTGTTCGGACTACTTGGCCAAGTTTTTAATTGTAAATATTTTAATGTTTCGTTATGTGTTCGTGTTATGTGTCCTAAATGTGCTGACGACTCCACCCACGGATGAGAAGGCCGTATTTTAACGTTCGTAGACAACCTGAAGATGTACTCGTTTAGCAGTACGAAACGGCCGTAGTTATTTCATAACTTAAGGATCAATTGACACAACAGGTAAATTAAACCTTTTATATTTGCATTACCTTGATCCAGAGGCTAACCCATCATGAAATATTTATTATCATTGATCCATTACAAAATAGACATAGGCAAATTCAACCAATTTACAATCAACATTACACTGGCAAACATACATAAAAAACAATAAAATCTAATAATCCTCAGTACTACCGGGACTAACGTACCAAAAAAGTTGTCTACAGAATAAAATGGACGGTTGGCAACGAGCCATAAACTTAAGATGAGTTTGAAGTGGCAGTGGCTCTAAAAAAACATTGATATTTATTGAGACTTTATCATTATTCATTTACGACTGGGATGCATCGTCCTGTAATCCAGCTACTAGGAGTTCACAAAATGTGGATATTTATAGGCATGCACTGTGGATGCGATGCTCCCTGGTGTGGATTAACGTCCGCACTAGTGAGTAATACGATTATCCTCAGTACTATCCTGATAATTAGACCAATTCGTTAATTAAGGAAATGTGGTTCGGATTCCACTATAAATTGTAGGTCCCTTAGTTGCCATTGGCTGTATCGGGTTTAATTAACAGCTGTGTCTAAAGAACATGTCGGCCTTAGTCACTAACAAGACTACAAAATCGCGCCACTCACTTTTCACTCATATTTGGAATAGTGGCTTATATATGCACACAGTGGCGTCCTCATCTTAAATAGTTGATATAATTGATTGATATTGATATAATTGACCATAGTCAGAGTGGACTTGCTTGAGTAGCCTACACTCACTCACCGTACGTCCGATGGTCTGCTTAGGTCCCACTGTAATGTCTAGCCGCCCGTCCTTGAAACTGACGTTATGTCTGACGTAGATAGGGATTGCGACAACACTTTGTGACCCGATGTGGTACGACATCAATCTCAGGTTACCGTCAGGCGGGATGAACGATAGTATTCTCTCTAACTGCAACACCAGACAATGTTAAGTTATTTTAGTTCTGTTCCTGCTTAAAAAGTACAAGTTTGAGTATGTAAATACTAAATATAAATATATAGGCTACATACCATTGCCATGAGTGGGTTACTGCACAGAAAAAATAAATGGTTATACAGTTATATAAATTTAAAATAAAAACTTCACAAATATTTTCAGAATTTTTAATTTCATTTTTCCCCAGCTACGTTGGAGTTATCAGACACATCTCAAAACTTATGATTTTTTTGTGATGTGTCTGATGATGCCAGGCCTCAAAAGGCCTCATGAAATTAAAAACTCTGAAAATATTTATGACGTTTTTATTTCAAATTTATATTTATTCCAATATTATGTTATACAGTGAATTACTTTAGTTATTACTATATTCTAGCCTTTGTACAAAAAAATTAAAACATTAATGTACTTCTAATAGTTATATAAATTTTTAGTGTTTAACACACACAGGTAGGTATAACTTTCTATTCCGATAGGATTTGAATAAATCTAATTTGTTTCACAAGTCACAACTAATGTTTTGAAAGAAACAGATTTTAATGATACCAACTTGTTACTGGCATAGTACTTGATACAATACTCAAAATGGTACAATACTTGGTTACAACATAGGGGGTGTTTACTAACGCTTCCCGCACGATAGGCGGATATATCCGCTAGCATGTTGTGCATAGCGAACGGTAGGCTGATTTATCCGCCGATTAATACGACAGTCATTGTTATAGTTGACAGTCTATAACATGATTAATCTTCATAAAAACGTCATTTTATTCAACGCATCTTACCTCCCACCGTTTGAACCGAACACAAGGATGAAAGCTGACGTCATCAAACAGCCGAGGATTCATAAAGGAAAGAGTCAAATCTGGCATTCCACTAAGCTTGATACAACAGTCCACCTAAAACATGTACACAATGATAATAGGTTCATCTAGAAATCACAGTAACTTAATAATAATTGGATTGTTTATTGGTTCTAGAGGAACATTATCAACATTTTTCGTGAACTTTTGGAAACAATATGATTTGGACAGATCCTTTTTGAAAATTACTATCCATGAAACATTAAGAGGTTCATTGACTATAATGAGAAATCATTTATATAGCAAACATCAAAATTAATCAGTCTTATTGCAGTTATAATCCTTCAATATTTTAAGTGTATATTTTTTCTGTGTCATTGGCAACCTTATTTTTTAAGGCAGACGTGTTTATTTTTATAAATAAATTCTTTTCTCTCCATCTATAAAATACACTAATGGCCCTCCTTAAAAAACTAGGGTGGGTCTAGGATACAGATAATGTAGCCAAACCAATTTTGCATAGGATAATAAAATAATCCATAACTAGTCCTACTATATTTTAGATAATGGATCCGCCAGGAAGAGTAACTGACTTTGGAAACTCAACAATGATGTGATTTCATTTTATCAGTATTACTATTCAGCACTATTTTTTTAGAAATTTAGATACTGAAAGGCCAACTGGAACTGAAACCTATTGAGAGCTATGACCTCTGTCCATTCTACACCATTCCTACATATCCTTCAGAGACAGTTATTTTGTTATAGCAAAACAAAAACAGTGAAGCAATATGCCACATCAGCAATCCTTTATCATCAGAATATTTTTTTAATGTCCTAAGTAATAGTTTAAAATTTGTTTAATAAAACTAGAGAGAAGGAGGGTCTTTAAACAAAGTTGAAGCACGTTTTTCTTCAAATCCTGCTTTGTGGACATCAATTGGTACTATCTAGAAGCTTAGGTCCTCTCCTTTTGAGATTTTGCTATTGTTAAAAAGGCAAGGTAAGAATTTTTAATGCTATTGACAAGTGAATGTTTGGGTTTTAAGCGCTACCACATTTATAACCTGTAATAAGAACAGAAACCGCTTATCCTGTTTAGCCACATATTTATGTTATACTAGCTGTAACCCGCGGGCTTTGCCCCGTTTAACTTCTTAATTTTCAAGATTATCTCGTTCGCATGGCTCAATCACGTCCTGGTTAAAGTTTGTTCGCTACGCTCACTCACCTTTAGGTTGGAGCTCGTTCGCTACGCTCACTTGCCTTCAGGTTAGCACGTTCGCTACGCTAACTCGCCTCCAGGTTGAAGTTCGTTCGCTACGCTCACTCACCTTTTGGTTGCAAATTAGCTGTTGTCATAAATGTAAAAGAAATAATAGTGCTGCACAATGTTGGTAATCCTTGTAACTTTAATGCTATTGAACATCATATAACAGAACCAACTTGTTTAATTGAAACAGCTGTTAAGATTCAATAATTCCATTTCTCATAAGGTTAACATGAGAAACTCCACAGCCACTGGGGCGGAGCCCGAAATGATTTTTGAAATAATAATATGCCTATATGTTAATCGGGAATGTGAGCTATCATCATGCCAAATTTCAGCCCAATCCGACCAGTATTTTTCGCGTTCACTTGTCACAAACATACATCCATACATCCATACATCCATACATCTAAACTTTCTCATTTATAATATTAGTAGGACTATGAGTAAATGATAAATTAACAAACTTATTTAAATTTTAGTGAGAAAAACACTCACATAGCCTTGTATCTCAGCAAAGACGGTAGACCCAGCGCGGTCGATGATGGCATCCACCTCCTCTACAACATCAAAGTATGCCTCGTTGTTGGTGTACTTGACACCCGTCCGCCTCCATGGCACATTGGACAACTGTCCGCTTGGCAGAGTGGCGCTCACGCTGGAAAACAGACCAACTTTAAGTAGGTGTAATGTTAGCACTGAAAGTAGGCCCATGTAAAACATTATTGTTGTAAATTATATTTACTATGAGGGTACAATTTTCTTTACATCCATTCAGATGATTATTGAAATGCTTAATAGGATGTTACTTTTAAGTAACAGTATTGTGATTTGTGACTACTGAAAAGGGACTTAGGAACGGGACTAAGCCTCAACCCTATCAAAGGATATTACACAAAATTAGTTATGGTACATAAAACTAACAGTTCATAACAATCATCAAAAGGGGGAAAAAATCTAGATGGCTTTTGAATCCTGAATCTAAGAGTTAATTTTTGGCTAGAGAGGCAGCTGTTTGACTACTAGTTGAGTCACCTTACTTGATACTTTGATTCCTTCATCGGTGACCGACAATGTCGGATAGATTGCGTAGAATATAATGTTATAACACTACTACATACGTATAATAAACATAAAAAGAAACTGACTAGGCTGCGGCGGAATATAACGTTTGGGGTAGGGGGTCTCTCACGTAACTTCTAGGGGCTCTTCCTACAGCAAGTATAGTTGTCTTTTCAACAGGTTATTACGAATGGCCGTTTTAAAAGATGCTGCTGCTCATCTCCTGCACCGCACCTTCTCCGGTAGGGTGTTAAAAAGCCTTATATAAAAAGCATTGCGGGGATAGCTCTTCAGGGTGCGTGTGAGACGATATCATGGCATATCGAGGTGTAGGGCTTGTCGAGTGCCATATTGGTTGGTGGTAAAGCTCTCTCTTGTCAAACAGATTGAACATTTTCATTCAGTAGAGTAAGGATGTTCAACACATACTGGCAAAAAACTGTGAGAATGTCCACTCTTAAAAAAAGACCTGCAATGTTCTGAATAATTGGCTGACATTATTATTCTTACAGCTTTCTTCTGTAGAAGTAAGATGTTCTTCACTGCTGACGAGTAACCCCAAAATACCAAGCCGTACATAAGATGGCTGTGGAATAGAGCATGGTAGACAGTTACCAAGTACTGCCTTGGTATGAGGTTGTTACCATTTTTACCGAGTTATGGTTTTACAGCCTACTCCTGATGATATTACAGTTTGTTTCTGATAATTGGCAGAGAGCTGTAGAACTTACTTGGACTTGCCAGTGACAGTGTTTGCGATGGTCCTTAGCAAGTTAGGTGGTTTGATCAACTCCTTGAGAACATTGGACTCTGTTGCCAGGGGGAACCCGTTGTCTAGCATCTCATCTAGCAGCTACAACATGATAAAACATTACAATCTGTAATAGTCCTATCTAACTCTAAAAAATTTATACCTTAACATTAGCGGTAAACTATAAGAAATGTTTAACAATAAGGGAGCTTACCTCGTAGACAACGACATAGTTTTCTTTGATGATCGATTCTGTGCATTCACTAAAATAGTCGTCAAATGTGTCAACGACACGGTGAAGAAACTCAATCACGAATAAAGGCGGCACTGAAACATATATAAGAGTTGATCAAAACTACAAAATATATTGGAGGCTGTTTGTAAGCTAGAAGAAAAATAGATACAGTAGGCCTATAGCCAAATACATAGGCTAGTTTGAAAAATTATTCTAGCTAAGACTGCGTTCATCAACTTTCAATGCTAAATTCATTAAAAGTGATAGACTACTCAATATTCTATTACCATCACACTAGCCTATGTGACTGGGGCATGTCTACAGCTACCTAGTAAAAGCTGCTTGAAATATCTAGATATCCAGGCTTAGCTTCTTTGAATATCATCAACAAATTAACTAGGCCTAATTAAATAAAGGCTACAATGTAGTCTACATATTTATTTAAGCTTATTTTGTACTTGGAACATTTACCTACAATGACAAATTTTGATGATGTAAGTGATAATAAATTATAAGAGAATCTATTGATGTTTCAGAAGTTACTATTAGGCCTACTTACCTTCCGTCATACAAACGGCAACAAAAAACATGCAACATCGATGTATACTGATAAGGTAGTGGTGAGGAGTAGCAATGACTGGAGGCATGTCTTCAGGGCAGGATACTTTCCTTTGCTCATCAAAGAAATAATCACACACCGATCGGGATATCACGCTCTTCCAGTGCTTCTCCATGAATAAATCTCTGAAAAAGAATATTTCCTTAGCAAAAATCTTGGAATGTGCTAATCTTATATATTAAAAAAATTTGGTTTTTCTTTTCCGAGTTCGTTTGGCTTTTCTAGCCGACCAATTTTCATGATTGAGGTCTCAAATTGAAGGTATTCACGCACAGATTTGCCATCAAGCATCGGCATATAATTATCAATAGTCTCACTCGGTTTATACGTAAACGAAATTTGCTCTCCATGTATTTCTTATGGGAGTTAAATTTTGTTTCTCTTTGCCGAGTTCATTTGGCTCTTCTACCCAACTGATTTTCATGATTGAGGTCTCAAATTGAAGGTATGCACGCACAGATTTCTTATCAAGCATCGGCATATATTTACCTACTGTATTACTAGACCAAAAAAACATAATTTGACTCATTTTCAAATTCTTACTTCAATTTAAGATGTATTTCACCAGTTACAATTACATAATCCTGTAAATTTTTGTTTAAGAACCTTGAGTGAAATACCGACTTTTATTCTAGCTATTAATTTATTCAAATCGGACGAGTTTCAAGCAAACACAAGGTGAACAACCAACACAATTTTATTTCATAAGGTTTTTCTATGATTAAAACTCAATAGCTCCCAGTATTGTTTATGTTTTTTTATACGTTTTAGATTCAAAATTATCAGTAAATTATTAGGCTTTAATTTGAGCTATTGATTGTTTGAATCAGTTAAGGTCAATTTACTGTATTACCCTACTCAATCAAAAATCATTAATTTGAATATTTCTCGGATATCTATTACATATGTATTTTAATGCTGCGGAGCAGCATGGGTCCTCTAATTAAATTGTTTTTAACATTATTTATCTATAGACCTAAATAAAATGACAGTGGAAACATTTCTGAGATGTTTCTTCACAAAGAGCTTTGTTGAGATACTTAGTCTAGGACAATTATTTAAGGGTTAGTACAAACAACCATTCAATAAATTTAATTTTAGGAACAATTTTTATATCAGACCCAATTAGGGGTTCAGTTACAGTTAACCATAAGTATAGCTAGGACGAATCAATAGGCTATGGGACAATTGATTTGTCGTAAATCAAAGTTCTGCCTAATTTTGTCTGAACATTAACTTAGCTTTTACTTGGTAGGCTTACAACAATCGTAACTGAAAGCACAGAAAACGTACTACTATAACCCAGAATGCCAACCGCATGGTAAAAAGCATTAAGTGTTTTGAGAGAGCTTTGCCTGTCAATTCGTAGGCAGCGCCACCAGCGTTGCTATGCTATTGCATGGCAACGCTGGTGGCGCTACCTACGGATTGACAGGCAAAGCTCTCTCAAAACACTTAATGCTTTTTACCATGCGGTTGGCATTCTGGGTTATAGTAGTACGTTTTCTGTGCTGAAAGTAACTTAGCCTACTTGGAAGACCTAAACAGGTCTTACTCATAATGAATGAATTCTATGTCAAACATACCCTGATGAGTTAATGATGAACAGGCTGTGAATCATTTTATCGTACTTAGTCCTTAGGAAACCTTTTTCAAAACAAATTAAAATAGGATTTCACTGAAACATTAACTTAGTTTAAAATACAGTAGGGTAGATATTAGTTCATATCATAAACAAAAACAATTTATGAACTTTTACGACTCTATGAAAAATAAACTATGAACTTCTCCATTGCGTCCTAATATATAGCCTAAAAATAATACCAATTGATTTTATAACAATAATTAAAATGGATATTGACTAATTAATATAATTAAATAGCTTTTTGCTTAAATTAGTTTACATAACCTGCAAAACAAATATGACAGGGTGACGGGTGACGTTTATGGCTGACAGTGGTAAAGTTAAACAAAGTAACGAAACAAAGAAACAGCTGGTAGAAAAGTCAAAGACTATTGAAGTAATAACAATTCTGGAGCAAATTTTAGCATTGGTTCTGATAACGTGAATAGCCAAACTATACGTAATACATCAGATCAGTCTTTTGCAAATCAAGCTAATTATTATTAATTATGATAGAACAATCAATGATAATAAAATGAATCTATACATTCTATTCAATAAGAAAATTATACCTATACCTTACTATAGAATAACCACGGTACGGTATAGGGCATGGGAGTATTTTTATCTATGATCCTACTTATGTCCAAAACATTATATGTAACCATTTTTTACACGACTACTATGTACGTGCTATTACTCATCAATGTAAGTTAGTAATCTTCTGTATTAGTTGCTTTAAATTAAATAAATGATTCTTACTATAATGAAACCGCTGATCTTAGTCAGTAACAAAGCTACACAGGTCATCACACACCATTCTACACTCATCCTTCACTCATATTTGGCTTAAAATACGCACCTAGGTGGCGTCCCCATCTCAATGATTGATGATTTATGATTGATTATGTAAATTTAAATTCTGGAAACATTTTTGCTTATTCGCTGATGATACGCTCTGAAGTTTCTGTTCAAAATCACAGAGATAGTGTAGATATGAACTCGAAGAAAGTTTTTTTTGCAGAACTCTTAGATTCATAGTAGGTAGTTGTTCAAGAAAAACTCTACTAAAGCCGGCTCCCGACATGCTGAATTTCAACCGACTGAATTTCAGTCGTGGTTAGGCGTTCGACCCGCGTGTGGGCTAAAAATAGTTTATTAATATATAATATATTAATAGGTATTAATTAATACCCTGAAGAAGCGGAACGTTGTTTTGAGTTCCGCGAAACGTCGGACCTTGATGCCGTGGACGATTTTGTGTTGTATATATGTGTGTTTATGTGTTTTGACGAGTCCCGGACATCACAAACAAAAATAAAGGTGAGTGAAGCCCACAAAAATTTACCTGATATTGTGTACCATTGTGGGGGTGTAATCCTTTTCTGACCTTAGAAGAAAAGCAGTCAGGGTGCAATTTCTAGTTCTTTGCTTGAAAAGAACATCGCTCAGGCAATACTGCCTATATCCTCATCATAAATTGTTTTAACTATGCTCTCTACCAATACAATCTGTGAACCTTAATTCTCATTTAAAAGAACCTAAATCAATATCATCACATTCAATATTAAATTTACTTCCTAGCAATTCACCACTTATAGATTATTGCCATCTCACTCCAAAACACCCTTTAAAGAGAAACTCATTACAACAACATTTTCAATCCCTCACCACTCTGCCTTTAACTGGAGCTAGACATGAGCAGCTTTAAAAGGCAAATTACAATTAACCATGAAGCCAATTATTGGATTATTCCTCATTAATATTTAACAAAATTAAAGACTCATATTCCTCTCACATATGTGCTAATTCTTGTAACCATCACACTATAGTAATAATTATACCGTGTGTTCAAAAGTCCCGGATCGGCTTTGTATTTTTTTAGATCTTAAATATTGATCTACAAAACTTAGAACATGTTTCTTGGACACAAAATACTATTTTAAGATGTATATTCAGTAACCCCCTACCTCCACAGGGGGGCGGCCCGCTAGAAATCAGAAGAAAATCTTAAATGTAAGCATATAGGTTGATAAGCACATCAAACTAAAGGTCTTTGTTAGTAAAACACAATGCCGCAAACCCGAACACAAACGGAAAACTGAGTAAAAAATGTTAGCTATTCAAAGATGCATTAAATTTGCATTATACTATTATGAGCTACCTCCACAGGGGGCGCCCGCTAGAAGTTGGCAGAAAATCATAAACGTATGCATAAGTCGATAACATCAAACTAAAGGGTTTATTTAGTACAATAGAATATGCCACAATTTGAGCTCGAAAGAACAACTGAGTATAAATGGCAGCTGTTCAAAGATTCAAATTGGCAGATTCAAGAAATCTTTGAACGGCTGCCATTTTTTGACTCGGTTACCCGTTGTAGTTCAAGTTTGCGGTATTGTATTCTACTTGTAAAGACCTTTAATTTGATGTGCATATCAACCTATGCTTACATTTAACCCTTCCCGCATGGGCAAAATCATGACATAGAACGGGAAAAAATTATAGGAAAAAATAAAAATTAATTTTCCTTATTTGTGTTTTGTTATACATTAAATAAACACAATGGAACACTTCATACTGTCAAAATATTTTTTTTGCTCGTTTTTAACTATGCGGATATATCCGCTACCCGTCCGCGGATGAGTAGAAAAGCAGCGGATATATCCGTCACCCGTCTTTGAAGATATGACCATGACAACGTTAGGCAATAAATAAATAACAATATATGTAAACAATAAATAAAGAAAACGTAGTGTTGAGCGTGAAATGTCAAGGGGGGGCGTAGGAGAGGTGGAGGGCGCGAGGGGGAAGGGGAGGCGTGAAAGAGGGGTAGGCGCAGAAGAAGGGAGTGCGGGAGATAGCGCAGCCATGGAGAGAGCAGTGGCACCTTGGTACCGCGAAACATCTGGTTACTGCTCAAGCACCTGCCAGTCTGTCTGAAGAGAAGGCAGATATATCCGCTTCCCGTCCGGAACATCAAAAACCATAAGCGGATATATCCGCCACCCATCCTTTATCGTCAAAGACTTAGGCGGATATATCCGTCACCCGTCTGGGAAGGCTGAAGGGTTAAAATGTTTTTCTGACACCTAGTGGGCCGTCCCCCTGAGGAGGTAGGGGGTCACTGAACATGTGTAAAATAGTAATTTGTGTCCAAGAGACATGTTGTTCTAAGTTTTGTAGGTCAATATTAAATATTTATAAAATTACAAAGCCGATTCGGGACTTTTAGAGCACCCTGTATACCCTTCTCCACCCATTACTCGGAGTGTATGCACATGTTGAGTTTGGCTTAGGGCATCAAGGAGGGTTGATCTGGACCTAGTTATTTGTCACACTCACACATGAGTCAAGTGACAAACAATGTCAAAATTAGTTTTTTTCCTATTGCTGATTTTGATTCAGCACAGTTAGTAAACTAGAAAGGCAACACAACAAACATACTTTTAGGTTTTAGAAATAAGTAGTTAAGAAGCAGATAAAACATTAATTGATCCTGTCAAAAGTATCAAGATACAACATATGAAGTCACAACAAATTTTATACACACTGCTGCCGACACAGAAGTTAATTGAAGCACTTTTATAGATAAGATACTAACAGGTTGACTGGAGTATTGGATGTCTATTGTTACTATTAATTTTCCATCAGGCAAAACTACATAAAGTTGATTGGTTATGGTATTAAGTAAGTAAAAAATATTTTTTTAGAAATTAGAAACGCACATATTTTAAACAGATTATTGTAAAAGTGTTAATCGTAAAACCAATCACTGTCTTCTATATTGCGGATTGTAGTTAAAATTATTTTGGCCACAATCTATAAAAACATTAAACTGAATAAACAAATATATTTTGTAAATATATCTTAAATACCTATGTTTTCTGAAATTGGTTTTGCTAGTCCAACCAACTGCTGTTAAAAATGTATAAATCACTGAGAAAAAAGTACTACCGTTTGTTTAAACAGAAATGATCTTCTAGTTTTTAATAATACTTCAGTACTTAAATAGAGTGGGTCAAGAAATCAAAATACAATATTTACGGTTTCACTTAACAAGTACTGTTTTGCTTCTACAGGGAGGACAAAGTGTGTTGTTAGTAAAATGCTAATAGCTTAGTATTAAATAAATCAATTTTCCAGCAAGTGTTTGATCAATATCTTTATAAAGAAACAAACTACAACGATTTACTTATTCTCCGTAAGAATAACAATGGTGATTTATAGATTTATAGGCGACCCCTGTTATTTCTGTGACGATGGTGAGCGTTCCCACACTGAAACATTTTTACCACACCACTGCTGCAGAATTATAAGGTGTATATACAGGCAGACCCGAATGGTTGCTGCTGAACTGCAGACCTAGATACACTGCAGAGCTAAAGTCAGCAGTGCTGATGCAGGACAATGTAATATGTACAGATAGACACAGATTGTTGCTGAAGGACAGCAGTCCTATCATGGAGCTCGTCCGCAGTGCTGTTGCAGAGCTGATAGGAACTGCAGTGCTTTTGTGGCTGGCAACCTCCACCTGTGCTCAGTTCCCTGGCAACGGGTCTACTCTGCAAACGTCTCTCACTGTAGGAACAGCTGTCTCTGTGCTTGTGTTTGTAAGTATAATGGAGAGACAGATATGCAGGGTTTCCCAGTACAGTAGCATAGTACGGTAATCACACTTAAAAAAGCTGTCATACATAACATTGTGATGTGACCACACTGATGACAATTAAATGCAATTAGGATAATTTTTTTAAAGGAAAGCCAATCAGCTAGTAAGGATTTTTTGAAAGGGAATACAGTTCAGCTAGCTTACCTGAGAAAATTAGAGATCAGGGGCTAATACACACACAAAACATAACACTTATATTTTGCCCTGATGTTGGACTTCTTTAGAGATTACCGGTGAGGTCGAAGAGAAATAATTTCTGTTATCTCTTTCCCTCTTTTACAAACCCTAAACTATTTAATTATTTTTTGTTCAGGGGGAAGATGAATTAAAGACAAATAATAATTATCATTGCTGACCTTTAACAAAGCCTCCCATTCCTTTTGACAGCAGTTGCTGAATAGTTTTTAGACACATTTATGCAGAATTGCTCTTCATCCAGAAATTTATCATCTCCTCTTTTTCCTCTCATTCTCATGTTTCCTGTATTTCATCTTCATTACTTTTTACTTCATCTCCCTGGTAGTTTTGTTTTTTTCATGATAAATGATTTTGGTACACTTTAAGATCTACCTATTCTTACGAACATATTATGTACTGTCTACTCTAGGCTCTAGGCCATGTCAGTGGCTGTCATATCAACCCAGCTGTCACTGTGGCATTCACACTCTCAGGTCGCACATCAATTGTCAGGGCTTGGTTGTATATCCTTGTTCAACTCCTTGGAGCTGTGGCAGGCACGGCAGTTTACATTGTAAGTACATTGTTAGGGAGTAGCTGGTCTAATAAGTATAACAGAACAGAACAAAAACTTTTTCATCAAAGGTCAATAAAAACCTTCAACGTGATAACACTGTGACTCACAGATTCAAAACTTAATTAGAAAAAGTTCTAGAGAAAGCAAAAATCTGTCAAAAACACAAAAAATAAAAAAAATCTTAGTATCAAAAACTTGGGGAGGAATTGCAATTTTAGAACAACGCTCTGCTCTGTATGAGTGACTCATTCAACTATGTTCTTTTTGAACAAATTGGCTAAAGGTCAAAGAATGAAAAGTCTATGCTATTGTAAAATTTGTGTTCAGGTGACCACTCCCTCAGCATTGCGAGGGGTGGGTTTTTGTTCTACTACGGTGAACCAAGCCAAGGCGGTGTCCTGGGACCAGGCTCTTGTGGTGGAGTCCTTCTTGTCCGGTGTCCTGATCCTTGTTATCTTGGCTGTGACAGACAAAAGGCTGGCATGTCCTGCGAGTTCAGGACCTCTCATAGTGGGACTTGCTGTTGTGGCTGACTTCCTTATGGGGGTGATTGAAATTACCATCAAAATAGCTTAAAGAATACTCTAACAAGTGTAGTGCAGTTGTTAAATATCGAATAAGTTAGAAGTTAAGAAAGGCCAATTGGCTGATTAGGATTGTTATATACAAGGATAGAGATCAGATAGCTTACCTGGTAGACAGAGTCCAGATTAGACTAGGTAACACACATAATTCAACACCGAAAACTTAATATTTCGTTCCAGTTAGGGACTTCATCAGAAGGCAGAAGAACTTTATAGAGGAAGAAGATATTTTTATAGAGTACGGATAATCTTGCAAACACATCTTATCAAGTGATTTCAAACTCAATTCTGGGTAAGAATACAAAGGAAGAAGGAATGGAAACTAACTTACCTAAAAGAGAGATCCAGAGGTAGTTAAAAGCACACAAAAATTCACAACACTATAAACTTGACATTTCGCCCCTTCAAGATTCATCAACCACTCAATTTATTGTTCATTGTATTGTGAACTTTTTTTATGTTTTTAACTACCAGTACCTGCTCTATACGTACTTACGTGCTTTATCCAAAAAACTAATTCTGGGTAAGAGTAGTCCAAGAAGAACTTATAACGAAGCTTTTAATACTATAAACCATATTTTGCTTTCTTGTTGCAGTTGCAGTACAGTGGGTGCAGTATGAACCCAGCAAGATCTTTTGGACCAGCAATTCTGAGTGGATACTCCACTAATCAATGGGTAGGTTGAATCACACTCACACATAATGAACAGAACCAGTAAACTAAACAAAGAGGATATAAACAATGAGTTTTGGAGAGGTTAACTGTAAGAAAGGATGAGGTCCTAAATTCACCTCAATAAAGAAGAATTTTCAATATTTTCATTTCCTTTCAAATGATGTTCCTGGCCTGAATAATAGCAGTAACATATGTTTTAGACCGTTTCATCTAAGCAATGTTAAATAATGTTTACTTTCAGGCCAGCATAACATCATTTGTTTATGATCCATACTGGGTCTGTTCTAGCATTCGTGGGTTGAATACAAAAAAACATATTAAAACACAGGTTTGTCACTACACTAATGTTTAATAAACATAAACACTGCTTTAATTGTCCAAACATCTTGATTTAATTGTGTTTTAAGATTAAAATTTTATAGTAAACTGGCTCAGCAAACTGATGATTACGAACTTCCATTAGCAATAGGGAGCATGATTTAAAAGGGATAATCACAAAATTGGAATACTTTTGAACCATAATTTTTACAGCACTGGGGATTTTACCATTTTGATAAAAGTTAAAAGACTTAGACTATGTACTAAATTGTAATAAAAATGGTTAGAGCTGTATTTGTAAAAATCTCATTTTTCCGTTATCTTGTGGGTTTTATGATACAACTATTAGAAATTCTAATTTAAAAAATTATAAAAAAGGACTTTTCCACCCAAAACTCAAAAATGTTGACAAAAACAATAATTAACCATTTAATGAAATATGGGGGGTAAGTCAACAGCATTTTTTTTAAGTTGGACGGTTGAAACTTTAGTATGAGTTTATTTAGTTATGAAAGGAATAGTAATGGTTTAAAGTTTAAGCTTCACCAAAATCTGTTGTTTACCCATCTTTTTTCCAGGCTTTATGTTTGATTCCAGATATTTGGGGTTGGACCGATACTTGGGTCAATATTTGCTACAGTGCTCTGGTGCTTTGTCTTAGCTCCAAACAAATAAAAAAGGTTTATTTGGTACATAACAGATTGGTGATGAACTTGTAGCTTCACAATGAGCTTTATATTTGCAGGAAATATGCAGAAGTAGTGCGGTATAAGATGAGTGAATTATAAGACCCTCACTTTTTTGTTGCCAAAATGAGTATGTGCTATTTTTTTTTTTTTACAGGTAGATTAGATTTTATATGAAGATGTTTAAAATTAGGCTAGTTATTAAAAATATTATTACTATTAGTAAAATTATTTGACCTAATGGATTATTAAGACACTGAATGTGTTAGCAATAAAATATCTTTTTAGCTATAAAAAGCAAATATCTTGTTTCATGTGTTTTTGTTGTTTCCTGAATCACTGATGATATATACAGTATGACAAGAATCCTTACTATTATTGAATGTTGTATAATTGAACAGAGCAAGCAAAGCTCTTTGAGATCGGACCTTATGCAAACTATGTAATCAATTACCTCAATAACGGCTGAACATATTTAATCCAAACTTTCCAGGGTCATTTTGACAAAAAGTGTTCATGTTATTAAACAAACAAATTTCAATTTGATAATGTCTGGACAGTTTAAAACCAACATAATGTTTTTAGCATTAGCCTTATAAGTTGCCACGATGGTTACGAGATAGCAACGTGGATGTAAACAAAGAACATAGCATATGCTTGTTAGGTTGTTAGCAAACTAATATACAATATGAATACAGCACAAAGGAAAAATCACTCAAGTAACAACCTTTGATAAAAAAAAATACAGAGTAAGTGTTACAGGACATTTGGAAACTACCCCTGTATTTAAGAGGTACACACTAACCAACCGTTGATACTATCTTACTGTTATCTGCAATCTTAAAATGTCATGGGAAGGGAGGGGAACAGGTCCGTAGGAAGTGGTGAAGGAAGTAGTAAAGGTGAGCAGTCCAGAGTGTGGGAACCTCAAAATTAAAAAGTAAATCGGTCCCGGGTCCAGGTCTTACCATGAGACCTACGGCAATAGCTTATTCCCTATACATAGGAAATTCGCAAAAAGAATATATATGCAACCTTCTAGGGATGAAAAAAACTCGTATATGTACACATACATAGTTTATTAAATTAATAAATGCTACACTTATTGTCATTTGCCAAATAAAAAAATGTATAAACAAAAACTTGTATAAATTATCAAATAAAAAAGAACACACATACTATAACAAAAAATACAATTTACATAGTACTTATATAAAGTGAATTAGGACTAAAACTGTTAAGTATTTGGCTTTAGACTTTATCAATAGTTTATAACCACACTAAAACGTGTGAACAAAACTTATAAACTAAAGTACAATCTCAATAATACATATGACACAAACCTATTGAATTTAACCTACCAAAATAGTGTCATTAAAATACTCTTTTATTAAACAATAAATCATTTTTATAGTTTCAATTATGCTAAATATTCCTTGTTCTATTAATCTTAGCTAGTTTTGGATAACATACTGTTTGATTAAGTTCTGTTGATTGAAGTTAATTTTTGAATCAAATCACAAATAAATTGACGTTTTTGTTTAAAGATTTGAACATAAACATAGACATAAACGTAAGATTTTGCTCTTCAAGAACTCAAACATAAAATGTATTCAAATACCTTGTAAATTTGAAAAATAATGTTCTTTTAATTATTTTATTTTTTAATAATTTTTTGTATTATTGAAGGTTATCTGTGTAAAAATTGTGTCATGCATTGAGTAGCATTTAAAAGATGTCTCTAATTTTAATCAATAAAAACTGTTAGAAATTACCTGAACTAATCTAGTTTACTTATTTGGAATGAATAATAGCATGTTTTTCCTAACAACTGCAGATTTTGTCAACAATAAAGTACCGTTACCAAAACCTAATATTTGGAAGAAGAAATTACCTACACATGATGCATAACAAACTTGGAAATGTTACTGGACACAAATTAAAATCTATATAGTAGTTTAGTTTAAAGAACACAGTTTAGTTTCCTATGATTAAAATTAAGGACCTCTTTTTCAATTATTTTTTTATACTATATGTATAATGGCAGGGAATAATTTAATAATCAGATCCTTTAAATAAACCCAAATCTGTTTATTAAATGTAAATGTAAATGTTTATTTGAAAACCACGAGTATCAAATGGTATACAACATTTCCTAGAGTCATTCTTCTGAGGTAAATTATGAGGTTATCAATTATCACTGGATTTTAATCAGGAATTTAAAAATATTCTTCTCCCTTGTGAAATAAGTAGGGACGGAGCTAATTTATTCAGGCTGAAAAACCTTGGGTATTAAAAATGTAGATTAGAGAAATATTTGTATCAAACTTTAAATATCTTTCGTACAATTTTATAAATTACTTTTGGCATGTTGAATCTTGTTGAGTTCACTGATATTAGAATTACGTATTTCACACTTTAAAGTCAGAAAAACTGTACACTACGTATTACATAATTCATAACACACAGCACACTATGTTAGACTCACAAAACTTATTTGTACTTTACAAGTTAAGAAGCGATAAGTACGCAGTAATCTTGCAATAGACTCAATAAACATTGCAACAAATATATCAATGTTTACAATAAATTTAATAAGCTTTTAATATAATATTTTATTCTATTTGACAAGTTACGTAATAAAGCCAAAAATATTTCATATCTGTATGTTATTGCTAACACTTACACAACAGTCAAAGGCATTTCAACCACAGGAGGCGAATATTATTTTACATAGAATAGTGATATGTTAAGTACATATTTAAGACATATTTACAATTCTATGATATGAACTGTATTTTATATACAAAAATTATTAAATTTATTACCTGTCGTATTCACAATTCAGTTTAAATTTGTAATACGATTAAATAATTAAATGTACAAAAAAACCGTAAAACATAATGTGTAAAACGTAGTTCAAAAATATTAAATAATCTTTATACTCATCCTAATTGTTATTGAAAATAGTAGGAAAGATATTTTTTTCATTTTATTTAGAAAGAATGCATAGTAAAAAATGAAGAGGAAAAAATTAAATGTGAATTTGATCTAACCAATGTTCACTAATTTCTAAGTTATTTACAATTTCCTAAACATTTGAGTTTCAACCTTTAACTATGCTACTAAAATTCTAGTTTTGGTAAGTACACTGTTTTACTAGACAAAGTAATACTTGTTTGTGAGCTGATATGCAATACATTTAAAAAACTAAACCAATTTGTTACATTCTTAAGTAAAAGAAATACATTTGACAATTTGTGCATGGACGTGTGACAATCATTGTGCCAGCAAGATTGGATATAACTTACTAATTTACAGCCTAAGCTAAACAATACATTGTGCCTGAGTACATAGACTGTAGTTAAAAGTATGTAAATACTAAATAGTTAAAAACAAATAATACTAAATCATTCTACAACTTTTATTGAGTCAACACTTAAAGAGTTTGCATTTTAATTTTGAGATAATTGTTGGCTATGCTATAACTACTAGTTCAGTTGGTCATTTTAACAATAATATCCTATTGAAATTTCTATGTAGTAATTAGAAACAGTCAAGAATTAGTAGAACTTGCAACACACATACACTCGGAACAAATTCTTGATTTTAAACACACGTATAAAAAATAATACTTTAAAACCCCATAATACTGTTAGTAGCAATTACTAATGAAAAAAAGTTAATTATAGAAAAGTTCTTGTATAACTTGCAAATTCCAAAAACGAAGATGCAAATCAATTGCTTAAAAAAATATCATAAATGTGATGTATAAAACGATTTCAGTCTTGATAGAGATAAAATTAAGGAATACTAAATAATATTATACCTTGTAAAAAGTTGTAACACAATAGTATACAGTTTATGTGTATAGAATAGCTAGGTACAGGTAGAGTATTTTGATAACATCTTTTAAGACGTTGAAATGTTTGCTAAGAGGAATAATTTGCTAAGTGGGAATTATGTATTTCTAAATTTTACATCTTAAAGTGTGTTTAGTTTTCAATACTTATACAATGGATTACATTTATCTAACACCTCTCATTTACCAAATGAATCTTTGTCCAAAACCAACAGCAAATGAAGATATTCATTCTGGTGGTAAATTCACAATATAGGAAAGCTAACATTTAGAGATAAGAATTTATATCTGCATAACGATAACTTTACTCCTATATCAATTAAATTATATCAATTATTTAAGATGGGGACGCCACTATGTGCCTATTTAAACCCAAATATGAGTGAAGGATGTGTGTAGGATGAGTGGCGCGATCTTGTAAACTTGTTAGTGACAAAGGCCGACACGTTCCTTAGACACAGCTGTTTATCAATAGCAGATACAGCCAATGGTAACGGAATCCGAACCACATTTTTCCCTTGCAATTAACGAATTGGTCTAATTATCAGAATAGTACTGTGGATAGTCGTAGTACTCACTAGTGCGGACATTAATCCACACGAGGGAGCATCGCATCCACAGTGCATGCCTATAAATATCCACAATTCTTGACCTCCGAGTAGCTGGATTACAGGAAAATGCCACAGTCCCAGTCTAACTCTAAGTTCCAAGGAATTCATATTCAAATGAAAGTAGTATACAGTATACAAGTATCCTACTTGTGGTGTTTGTGGTACAGAGAATGTTTTAGTAAAATATTACAAAAAATTATTTTTATTAAAGCAGACTTTATTTCACTGTTGGTGTGTCAAAATAAATGTAGGAAGTACATTCTACTTAAATAATGTTTGTTTGAAACTGCATAACAAATTTATTTACCGCATACTTGCTTTATGCAAACAAATTTAAATTCCCACTTTGCAAAAGAGTAAACCAACTACAGAAAAACAGTAGTGTCAAATATACTTATCTACAGAATATCTATGCTATGTCAATTTCCTAGAGTCTAGACCAACTACAGTTTACGCTCTTACTTACAACAGTTACAAAATATTGAGTATTTCATTGAATATCTTTACGGTTTGTTCAATACAACATGCAAAGGTCAAACAATTGACACATATAAATTTGATTGCACAGCTTATAAAACAGGTTTGCTTAAATTATAAGGACACACAGTTATGATTCACTGAGAAAGCACCGGGGAAATCTAAAACTTATGATAAATTCAAATCGTGTACTAAAATAAACAATAGCTTTTTGAATAGCTTTTCAGTGGCCTTGAGATATATTTGATTATGTTAAATATTTCACACAAGACTTTGTTGAAGTGTCAAATAAAGAAATTTCAAAAATTCCAAAATTGTTGACAAACAACCAGTGCAAGCAACAGCTACATTCACATAAATTGGCATTAATGTATTTTGAAAAAAAAATTATACCACACAATACTCAATTTGGTAAAAATAAAAACTGATAACTAATTGTGGAATATTATCTATTTTTGTGCATTACCTACATACAATAAAACAACAACTAACCACGTACATATAATTATGATTTTTAGGGAAATTTGTAAAATCACCTGATAATATGGAAAATATAGGTAATATTGGTCCATACTATGTATTCCAAATGTCCTGCCAACAACAAAATTACATCAAAGGAACCAAAATGATCCTTTTCGAATTCCTAAACTAAAGTTGACTTTATCAAATAGTTAAAAATAAAAATAACTACTATGCTAAGAAAATAAAAGTTGATCCAAAACATGTTACCGGTAGCTAGACTTACAGGGATGTGCTGGTGTACAGAAATAAGTGGGCCGTCATGGTGTCTATTTAGAACTAGGGTGTGATGATGGCTAGGAGTACTGTTGTCTCATGGTACCCATTCAGTACTGTGGTGTAGTGGTGGCTAGAAGTAGTGGGGTGTCATGTCTATAGAGACATCACCCCCGCGAGCGTGAGGTCAGACGGACGTCTCGGAGTTGAGCCGCAACACAAACTTGTTGGACTTTGGGTCAACGACCTCTTCCGACAAGTGGAAGTGTGGCAGTTCCCTCACCTGTCAAACACGACAATGTATTCAAGTAAAATACTATTATTGTTTGAATTTAGGAAATTCATGCGAAATTCCTATTTCTGCTCTCATTTCAAAATGCTTGGTATTATTATTTATTAAATTCATAACCTTGCCCCGATTTGGAAAGTATTTAAATCTTGATAAGTTGATGCTTATTTTCCACAACTTAAACTGACCATAATTATTATGATCCATCCATAACACAACATAAAAAGGAAGATTTAAACTGACAAACAGAATTATATGCCAAACCATAAAGAGTTTCCATAAATAACACAACGAGTCAGTGCTACCATAATATGTAGAGTCTATAGTCTGTGGTTTACCTGACACAGCAGCGAGATGTCGTTCTGCCGCAGCTGAAACACAGTGTTGGGTCCCAGCGGCCGAGACAGCAGCTCGTCACAGATCAGCGACCACGACTGGACACTCTTCTGCTCCTTTTCATTCTGATAACAGTACGTATAGTGGATTAGTCATACCTGGCAATTAATTGGACTTGTCTACAAACACCTTAATCCATTACACTGAGAGCATACTATTATTTATGCAGGTAGTCAATCAATCAATCAATCAAATCTTTATTCAGAACGTACATAACTGCACATGAATGCGTCATTGTTACATTGTTGTTACATTGTTATACACACATAATGTTAAAAAATTAAAATAAATAGTCTACTCATAGTTTAAAAAATTCCTCTTTACTATAAATAAGCCCCGTTCACACGGGGCGAGTTTACAAGCTACACGCCGGCTTTTTTACACGCAGCTAGTGAAATAGCTCAGTGTGAACGACGTACTCGCTCAAAAGCTGCTTGTAAAAAAGCTCTGGAAAAAGTTGACGCTGCCGCTACTTTACACGCCAACTCGCCAGCTTTTGAGCGAGTAGGCGTGTAAAGTAGCCCAGTGTGAACACAGTTGCTTGTGCTTGTGCGCTTGTTACTCAAAGATGTTGGAGGATTTGGTTCAAGCCAGCTACTGAGCGAGTGGAAAAAGCATCGTGTGAACGACTACAAGCGCACTCGCTGACTCGCCGGCGTCTTTCTACACGTCTGCGAGTTGGCGAGTGGACAAGCTCCGTGTGAACGAATACAAGCACACTCGCCAACTCGCCGGCTTCTTACACGCTGGCGTGTAGCTTGTAAACTCGCCCCGTGTGAACGGGCCTATAGAATTAATTATTAGAAATGTTTTCAATTTTCTTTTAAACATATTCATACTCAGCTCTCTCCTAATGCTATCTGGGAGGTGGTTGATAAATTTGATGCCAATATAATCTGGTCTTTGTTTAAATTTTTCTTTTTTATGCTTTTTAACTGTAAAATTTTGTTTGTTCCTTGTGTCATGCTCATGAATGTCCTGTTGTCGCTGTAATTTTGATTCATTTTTTTTCACATAAAGTATTGTTTTGTAAATGTATAAACTATAAACTGTTAGAAACCCTAAATCTTTAAAATAGTTTTTACAAGAGGCCTCTCTTTCTAAATTTAGCATGCATCTAATAGCATCCTTCTGTAAGCATAATATTCTTTTTAAGTTATAGTCGCTAGTACCCCCATAAATTTCTAATCCATATGATATATGTGAATGGATATGAGCATAGTAAATTGTCTTCAGTGTTTGCTCATTACAAAACGGGCGAAGTCTATTGATAATGAAAATTCCAGAGCTTATTTTCCAACAAACATTATCAACATGTTTGGACCAGTTTAATGTATTATCAACTGTAAGTCCCAAAAACTTTGTTTTTTCTTCAAAATTATCAAAATTGGCTTTATTTTTTAAGTTTGTGCAAGAAAATTTCACCAATGATGTTTTACTTCTATTTAATAAAAGATTTCTTTCATTTAGGAAAGTGTTTACTACTGTTATGGCCTCTTTCATTTTTTGTTCTGCTTCAGTTTTGTCTTTGTCATGGATTGCCATGCTAATGTCATCTGCATACAGACATAGTCTAATATTATCAATTTTATTCGTCAAAAGTTCCTGCATACCTCCCAGATAACACAAGAATAAGAACGGCCCTAAAACAGATCCTTGAGGTACCGAGTATTTAACCTGTCTTAACTTAGATTTAACATCATATTCATTTTTGTTGTCTACAAATTTAATGTTAACATACTGTTTCCTCCCTTCTAAGTATGACTTAATCCAGTTTAACTCTTTACCAGAAATACCATTACTTTCAAGCCTATTGATTAATGTGGGATGGTGAACACTATCAAAAGCTTTAGTCATATCTAAAAAAGCACCAACAACACAATTGTCTTTATCTAAATTATCTAAAATATCTTCAATAAAAGATATTGAAGATATAGTATTAAAAGGGTTAATGCTACATACGCTAGCCACAACCTTAGTCATTGAAATAAGTCCCAAAAAGTAAAATCACAAATATATTGCTATTTAAACAGTTATAGGTAATTAATTTGTTACTACCTGTTAACAAAATCCTGTTAATTAATTGGAAAAGAAAACTAACCTGTAATTTTTTTTTGTTTTGAAAATTTCTTAAGCACGGCTTCTGATATGTCTACGGCTTGATTTTAAACGGAAACAAATTAATTTGTATAAAAGTTCAAAATGATAAGCATATTGTATGAATTAATGGGACACCATACCAATTGAGCACTAATATGTGCAGAAAACCAATTAACCTAAATCTATCAAAATCTGAACACAACAAATAAAAAAAAAAAACTCTCTTCACAGATTTAAATCCAAAGCATTAAGCCACTGATGTCCTACTGGTGTTGTGCCAACCATCTTAGACTTGAAAGATCATGTGCTTAAAAGTTTTGAGGATAACATTTGGATGGTGGTTGTGACTGACCTGCAGTACAGGAGCAGGTACTAGGAACGGCTCCAGGAAAGCGTGCGGAGACAAGTCGTGAGACAAACACGACGCCAGATGCGACAGGATAGACTCCACCGTGTGGCGCGGCTGTTGTCTGGTCACCCGCAGGTACTTCTGTAGAGCTCGCGCCAGCGACGGGAACACTGCTTGCGCTGCCTCATGAGGGTCCATTGGAATCGCTGGGACTGAAACAAACACAAGTTGTAGTGTGGTATTGAATCAATCCTTATCAAGTCAAACCATCAACCTTTACATTTTCAGCTTGAAGGTAAAGGTGAACAGTAAGTATAACCACTAAGCCACCCAGACAGTTACAATTTTCATAGACCTAGATACTGGAAAACTACAAAATACAGTATTACCATAGATTTATTATATTTTATCTGGGAATTGCTGCAACCAGTGTTTGATAACTTTGGCAATGAATTTCATTTGTAACCAATTACTTTTACGTACATTTTTGTGTAACAACTGAAACCTGGACCTGTGGACCTAAATTATTCATCTAGCATCCTCATTATTTTTCTTAGGATTATAATTGAATATTTTTAGTTTTTACAAAGTTTGCATTTGTCGCTAAGGTAAAAATGGAAAATTTAACCAAATTTCAACACATGTTATGTAATTACAGTCACCTGGCTCATTGTGTAATCGCTTGATGTGAGTGAACGCTTCCTCAGCGGCCGTGATGAGACGAGCTCTGCGCTTCTTAACTCTCCGCTCGTAGTCGTGTTCCTCGTAGAACCTCTCATTGTGACTAGAGTCACGGCGTCGCGCATGAGCCGTCAACATCGCACGGGACTGGCTGTGCTGCAGGACATAAGTGTGACATCAGAAGTACATTATATAGAGAGTGACTATAAGTATTTTTTAATAATCCCAGCAAAACTTTGCTTACTTTTTCATCAAGAGTGTAGCAAATATATCACAAAAGTGTAAATTGAAGACTTGGAAAATTTCAAACCTTTTCTTTTCTAGGCAATGTTGAAATATGCAAAAATCAAACCATTATTTAAAAAAAGATGCTCATGAAATATCTAACTTTCGACCAATTAGCTAGTAATCTCAAAGTTGTTAAAAATTCTCAAACTGGCGTTCAGTTTTTCCTGGACCTCTTAATTTAATTTTCTATACAAATTATCTAGCGGCTCTTAATTTAATTTTCTATAGGCCTACAAATTATCTAGCGGCCACAGTAAATTCCAGAATAACATAATTTGCCGATGACACCAGGGTGTTAGTCAAAGCCCCTTTATTGCCCTGGTGACTATCATATAGGGATGGACGAGTCCCGAAATTTTGGGAAATTTTCGGGAAAAAAATATTTCCGATTTTCGGGACGGGATTACATTTGATTCGGGAATTTTTCGGGACGGGATTTGGTCTGATCGTCGGCAATTTTGCCGCTTCGCGAGTGACATTAACGCCGCTATCGCGAGAGATGTTCCGCGAACGCAGGAGGCGAAGTCATTTCGACGATCGCGCCGTGACCGCGGAGTCATACCGACGATCGCACCGTGACCGCGAAGTCATACAGACGAGCGCGCAGCGACCGCGAGTTATACCGACGATCAGGCCGTAACCGCGAAGTCATAACGACGATCGCGCTGTGACCGCGGAGTCATACCAACGATAACGCCGTGACCGCGAGTCATTCCAACGATCACCCCGTGACCGCGGAAGCATACCGATGATAGCCCCGTGACCGCGGAGTCATACCAACGATCGTGCCGTGATCGCGGAGTCAAAACGACGATTGCTAAGTGGACGCAGAGTCATACCGATGCTCAAGCCGTGATCGCGAGTCATACTGACGATCCCGAGTCATACAAACGATCATGCCGTGACCGCGGATTCATACCAACGATAACGCCGTGACCGCGAGTCATACCGACAATAACGCCGTGACCGCAAGTCATACCGACGATCACCCCGTGATCACGGTCATTTTGACAATCGCACCGTGACCGCGAGTCACAAGTTTCTATAGGTACCTGTAGATTGTTGTAACCAAAAATTTTTTTGTATTTATGGATCAGTGCCACAAATGGTAAAAATTGATTTCTTTTGTCTTTTTTGGCAACTGAAATACTCAATACTTTCTTTTTATGCACAGGAAAAAATCCCGTCCCGTCCTGAACTAAAAATTCAATCCCGTCCATCCCTATAGGCATCTGAACATTTTAATAAACTGGAACTATGGTTCAAACAAAATGGTCTTCATCTAGACTGCTCAATAATGCACTTACTTCATTTTTGCAATCCACTAGTTAAATTCAGAAAAGGTAACCACCAGCCTGGATTCTGGGGAACAAATTAATTATTCCAAAACACTAGATTTTTTAGGTGTTGAGAACATCAATTTCAGGTAGCTAAATCGTTAGCGAAAGCTTTGTTTGGATTAGGGGTCATCTTCAAAACAACAGGACTAAATGATGCTTTAATAGTTCAGCCCACCATTCCTATTTATGTCTAGGGCTTGCGATGGCATTATTTCTTGGAGCAGTTGTTTAATTCTTCAAAAGCAGAATAGGCCCTCAACATAGCATTTTACAACGTGTTCTCGAATCGCATGTTCCACACGGGATATTTCAATATGCATTCTCTGTATAGAGGGTGTTGTTTGTTTTGGTTGATTTGAAAAACGAATATGCGACCTGCACTGCTCCACTGTATTTTTACACTAAGCCAGTCTAAACTTTTTATTCCGTTAAACATCAAGAGCATCATCCGTTGTAACCATCAAGGTTTCAAAGCAAGAAAATCGGGGAGGCGTTCCAACAGACATTTTCCCTGTGGTGTACAACTTACAGGTATTGAAGAGTTGTTCATCCCGTCGACGTCGTAGAACTTGAAGCTGGACTGTTTGCGACTCTTTGACACAGGTATCCTCTCCAGGTAAGGGTTGTAGATAGGAAACTCTGTGTAGTACCTGTACGTGCATGGGATATTTGTTAGAATATGACACCATTTTATTTTGAAAACAATAGCAACACTCCAGTAGACAGTCTAAATACGTTTATAGCTAAATTGGTGAATTCTTAATACCTACCACTACAAAATAATCAATTTGAGATGTGAATATTATTTATGTACTGGCTGTACAATGAGGCTGTGGATTATTTAATCTAGTTCAGCATTCTCATAGAGAGAAGTAATTTTGTCCATTCAAACCAGTACCCAGTTCTCTCATATTGTTAGGTTTTTGATCTATCTAGAGAAGAACCAACTGATTCTATGTAAGTTAGTCAGTAACAAGGTTAGTATCTGTTTCTTTCAGCGCTCATTTTCACCTTGAAATGGGAAAACATTTCCTTTTCTTAAGTGACTTAACCATTTTATTATCCTCACCTCTCCAAAACCCAGACTGCAGCTCGCTGTATGCTCAGCTGACCAATGGCATATGCTCGACTTTCTCCATCAGGACTTCTGACAACCTACATAACACACAAATTATCATCACTCATGGACCAACTGATAGTACTACATGCATCTAAATAAAAACTGAAATCTCCAATGAAGCTTGGTTTAGTAAAACAAAACAGGAGGAAACCCTGCTAAAAACTATGAATGCGCAGAATATAGGAGCTTTATATAGCTATAGTGGAATAGAATACAGAATAGGACTGGCCTCTGAGGAGGTAGGGGATGCGGCGTTGCCACTTCGTTCTTGGCTGGTGAGCTGACTTTCACCTAGAGCCGGGGAGCGGGCGCGGGCATCCCTCTGACTCTGTCTTCCCACTTGTAGGGCAGTTTAACACTACAAATTATAATTTTTTTTTTGCGGTATTGGTTAGTGTTGTCATGTTTATATCACATGGAAGATACATTCATCCCTTACATGATTATGGATAGATTATTTGCACAATTAATGACTTAAACTGCTACTAGATTTAGTTTTTGAAAAATATATTAACATTAACATACAATTAATAAATATAAAATGAAAATACATTTTATATAGGGTCACCTTTACAAGTCTCTGGAAATATGTTGCCTATAGTCAAACGTTTGTCAACCCCAATTTTTAAACAAATCACTGTAACAATAAGAGCAAATGAATACATACGGTCCAAAAACTTTTATAGCAGTTCTAAAAATCTTGTAAATTGTTGCCCTGCTTATAGTTTGATACATAAAACAAATTAACATGGAAATGAAGAAGGTAAAATCTTCCATATTAAACATTTACAGCGCAATAGTTTGGTTGTGTTTAGGAAACGAAGTTGGTCAATGTTTAGGAATTACCCCAAAGCTGCCTTTCTTTGAACACCTATTGTGACCCTCACTCCGTTAATCTTATTATTGCCACTCGAGTGAACTTAAACTTACGGAGAACAGGTAGCTCAATAGTGACGAAGACATTTCTGTAATATTGTGATTTGACAAAAAAGTCTGTTAGTTTTATATTGAATTTAAGAAAACTGAACTAACGTTTACATACATTACGTTATGTGTTGCATTCATTAAAATAGTCATACGATATATTCACTCTTCTATAACAAAAAAAAAAAAAAAAACTTCTAATGTAGGTACTCTAGAAATCCTCAAAAAACATACAAGGTAAAAAGGGAAATAGATAACATAACTGCCAATTTATTGCCAAAATGACATAACTATTTTTATTAGAAAATATTATTACATTGCACTGGAAATTGTTACATAAAAATATTTACAAAAGAAAATATTGACGTATGAAACTTAAATAAAATTTTTAAGGGACAATGACATTTTTATATAGGCCTATCAAGATATTTGCATTACGTAAATGAACACCACGTCCGACGTTACGATATCGCAATCGTTTCACGTGTACTCGTGGTCGTCCACGTCGCGTACTGTTGTCCGTATTCATTGGGCGAAACACAGTTCATAGACGAATTCTTGACAAAACATGAGAGTATACTAGAAACGCACAGGTCGGCTATCGGGCAGAGACTGAGTGCGTGGCACAACTTGGCAACAGTGGACAGTTTTCTAAAAGCTGATTGGATGCCGCATGCCCCGCCCCACCCGACTCGAACTGGTTTCGGTCCTATTCTGTATTCTATTCCACTATAGTACTTAATGACTGGTGAAACACAGTCATTGAGCTTAAGTAAACAATAGAACGACAAACTAAAATATTTGTAAGTTTATATTTTAAAGTAAGTAAGCAATCCATGGTACCTTTAAAACTTAAAATAACATGTAGTAATGAAATTACCTTGATGTAGTACGTAGGTTGTAAGTGTCTAATCTCTATCAACACCACAGCTAGGTAGTGTATAAACAACAGAGTGTCAGTCAGACTGGAGGCGTAAGCTACCAACGCTCTGTACTCCAACACATCCTCGCCCGTTACAGAGGCTCTGGCACCTGATCATACAAACAATAGTAATTTAGATGATGATGACGTAAGTTTTTTCTACCATATTATTGGTAGGCCTAGATGTGATTCTGTATGGAGTTCAAAGAAATATACCGGTATTTACGTTTTCTAAATATTGAATCAAGTTCTCATGCATGAAAATGAAACAAAATTTGGGTTAGGGAATTGAAATTCTTACCAAATAAAAAAAATTATATGTGCAAAATAAACTAATTGGAGAAGAGACTACTAGATTACACACCTTCAGTGATCTGCACAACGTAGAAGAGCCAGTATGAGAAGATGCAGACGGTGACTAGTAGAAGAACAGTGGCTCTGAAGAGGAATATTCGTGGCATAGTGGCTCGTGGACGGCGTAGGAACACTCCCCAGGCACCGGCCGCCAGCAGCACCAGCTTGAACACCAGAGACACCAGCAGACCCTTGCACTCGGCGCCACATGCTAGTAGCTGCTGGCGCTGTGCTAAGGTCAGGCTCGGCGCCATCGATGGAAAAAACCCTGGAAAAATATCTCAATGAGTAGGCCTAGTCCACAAAAAATCTAGAGGTGTTTTTTCTAACATGATACCTGTAGTTCTATGTTTTGTTATTTGAATATTTAGAAATACCGGTAAATATTTTAGTTTAATGGTTTAGGAACGTTGTTGAATTTCTTTAGTTACAATTCTTAAACCTTAATTAAGTCACCGAATAACCATTGTGGTAAACTTTTGTACGCTATGGGTAGTCACTAATTATTACATATTACGATATAGTATTACCACTAAATTGGAAATAAATTACAATAAAGATAATGGATTCACAACTAACTTACCCAAGAAAAGAATGGCTACTACTTCATCAGGACCACCTTTGTAGGGATAAAATATCACATTTAACTGGTAGTGAACTTTTTGCTTTTTGTGTACTCTTAATTGCCTGGAACTCTTTTCTTGGATGAGTTACTTAGTTGTGTTTCCATTCCTTAATTTTTAACATAGAACCAAGATAAAAATTTCCTTAAATACTTGGGGAGCCTAGCTTTATAAAAACTTGTTAGTTTTGCTTGCTTGGAACATTACACCCTACACATAATTATTGTTAACAATCAGCATTAAACCAACTAATTTACAGTAATCTAAACCTACCAAGTTTTGGCAGCACGACCATGGCGAGGGGTGTGAGGAACGCTGCCACAGACAGCACTACTGTAAGCACAGACCCGACGTAGCGATGACACAAGAACGTCAAACCAGTGTCGGGGTCGGAGGGCCACAGACTCACGTCGTCTACTGACCCTGACTGTTCAGACGTGTTGCCTGTCACAGCCGTAGTGTTCTCACCCCAATTCTCATCCTAGAATAAATCGTAACTAAAGTTTAATCTTCCTTAGGCATCAAAATAAATATGCCTGTTACCATTTACTGCGCAAAATTACAGTGCAATCTCGCTAATCTGGCAGTAAAGCAGTATTGGTGGTGTTGAATTACCAATATTTCTGGATAAGTAGATGTATGGGTAAAAAAGTACAAAACTATACAAAATTACGCTGAGATTTAATAGAAACTAGTTAAAGTATAGTTCAACAAAGTAGGACGCAAATGTACAATTTAGCAATTACTAAATACACAATAAAACGTAACAAACAGTAAGCCTAATCTGGCTCTAGAACAGTAAACGGAGGATGGATACAGCACAAAATTGAGAACAAAAATGAAAATTAAAAGTGCATTTTCGACTTGGGGAAAATCACCTGATTTTAAGGTTTTTCTTGCATCAGCAGATTTCTCACTAGGTATATTCTTATAAAACAATTCAATCTTGTCCTTTTTGTTTTTTATCTACCTAATATGTATTGTTCCACGACCGATGTTGTATTTCTTAGCCAAATGAGATAACTTTTCACCTTTCTTGAAAAACATTTGAGAATTTCATGGTTTTTATCTAATGTTAATGTTTCTCCGACATCGCACTAAGCCATCTTTAACAAAATTTAAAACTTGGAAATCTCGTGATAATACACACAAATTGGACTATGTAGCCAGAGCCCAAGAAGGTGAGCAACTGACGGTGCAACATCACAGTGAATCATACAAGAGAATCAAATGTAGAGACATGACACCAAAAAGCATTGACCCAACCCGATGTCGCTCGCACAGTGATGTACCGTGCGACTGTAGAGTATAAGTAGAGTTTAATACCAAGTAGGTGTTTAAGTAGCTTATGATTAAAATTCGAGGTAGCCTTAAAACAAATTCATCCCTGTTGAATGTAATAAAACAGACCAGTAGAAGACTAATAAATAATAAACACTTTGAAGGAGAATTTATCGTACCGGTAGCGTAGCTTTGTTTGAATCACAATACGCAACCAATTTGCAACCTTAAAACGCAAGATTTAGGGTTCCTGTTTTAGGTTATTAGGGAAGTTTTTTTGTTTAAAACCACCTTTGAATCCCAAGAGAGTGGTCTACAGGTTTAAAATGACTCAACTTACCTGCGGTAGGATTTGCACTTCTATCACTTCTTGCCCATCTCGATTTTCATCAGCCAAAGTAACAGACGTTTGAAATGGGGCCATTATATCACCTTTGCGTTGACCTTTGTTTGTTCTGTAAAATATTGATAACTGGCTTTAGTTAAATTTAGTACCCTAAGTTTTAACCTAAGTTAAATTTTAAAAATCCAAGTAGCAAATATTTAACAAATGACAAATAACTTAAGTTAGGCCTATATTGAATTGTTTTGTTGTATTTTAAGTTAAAAATTCCATCTCAGTAAAAATCCTGTCTAAATATTTTGGATAGCCTAAGAGAAAAAAGAAATTTGGTGTAACTTAAGTTAATTTATGACAATTAGTCTGATATTTAAAACTAATTGAGAACATAATTAAGTCCTTGGAATTTTCTCTATAAAACAATTGACTAGGTTAGACATAGGGCCTCAACTTACATCGCTTGAAAGGTATCAAATTATTTGTTTCAGCAATGAAGCAAAATAAATCAAATAAGATTTTAAAAAATCAGCATGACCTAGGTAATAGCATTTATAGTAGCATGCCCTACTTAGCATTTATATCAAAGGTTATCTAACAAAAAACCACTACTGTAAGTGGTAACACTTTCCCCGCCAAGTCAGCAATCCAAAAAAGATAATAAATCATTACTTTTTCCGCCAAGAAAAACAATGTAATGTATGTAAGTTTGGCAACTTGGCGGCAGACTTTTGCTTGGTTTTTTCATTAAAGTTACGTTCGTGGATAATTTCACAAATCAACTTCTCTAATTAATTAGTCCAACTAAGTATAATAATTTCGAGGTAATCAGTAAATATAAAACCATCACTATTATGATTTTATGAAATGTGGCACAAATAAGGTCAAATTTTGTAAAATAAGCTCTCACCTAGCAATGTACTAATGGGAGAGATACTTGCTCAATGAAACTAGTTTTATGGTATTTTTTAAAGTGATCGAGCAAAAGTCTACCGCCAAGTTGCCAAACTTACATACATTACATTGTTTTTCTTGGCGGAAAAAGTAATGATTTATTATCTTTTTTGGATTGCTGACTTGGCGGGGAAAGTGTTACCACTTACAGTAGGCCTAGTGGTTTTTTGTTAGATTTTATTTATTTTTGTAGAAAATCAACAGTTAAAATAAAAATCCTCTTTTCTCTGATATATAGACCACGGCACAACTGTCACAGGTCGACACCTCTCTTGTAGTCTTCGTAGCGGTTGGGAGCAGGAAGAACATATTAAAACAAACGAATAGGGATCAGCTAACACTTTATTACTTAAAAATTAATCTTTAACAATTTCATCGATTAAAAATAACACATTACAATTTACAAATCAAACCGCGACTGACCGAATAAACTACGAATTACAGTAATGAATTTAAAACGTACACAGACTTATAGAAGAAAGGAGTAAGAGTAAAAGAAAGGGCACGAGACCGCGCGCGCGGACCCGACCTTAAGGACCCTACATCTCGGCGCGATCTGACGGCTTCAGCGTCGTTAGAGCGCGAGCATCAGCGTGGTCACATGACCACCGTCAGCCAATCAGCGCACGCTGAGCGCTCAGCCCATGATTCAATTGTCCGTCTGGTGCTGCGGCCAAACGATCACAACAGGCATTAATGAAACTAATTGAAACGAGTCTGGAAATGTAACATTGCTCATCGCGACACACGTGCACTTCAAAGTCAGCACATTCCAGGGTGCATCCGGCCAAGCCACGACGTCTGGTTAGGATTATTGTAGGGTTACAAAGTAATGAAATGAATTGGAGTATGAGTTTTAAGGTTCACTTGGAGACTTATATGAAGTTAAATAAAATACAATATTGCTAATTACGGTTGACACATCAACCTAGCAAATATTCGGTGATAACCAACGGGCCAGGTTTAGGGAGTAAGGCCAATCAGCTTAAGCTCAAAGTTAACAAATGACAACAAAATGAGGCAATTATGCAAGGCCGTCACACAACTACATCTCATTTAATTTCAATATTGTTTGTGTCAATAAATTCTTCATTTTTGGTCTTATCTGATTTAAACCGTTAAAAAACTTTTTGACACACGTACCAAATTTACTATTTAACAATCCCCCTGGGCTTAAACTCAGTTTCAAAGTTCATCAATGGTCATCTTGAACAACATAAAATGCGTTGGTGTTACATAAGTGTTCTGATAATTAATCCCGTATATCTAAAGACTAGTGTAAATTGAGCCCTTATTATAGAAGTAAAAATATAATCAAACAGATTAGGTTTGTTAGAAATAGCATATAAGACAAAACAAATATTGAAAAACTCATTTATCCTAAATTTACATATCACTTTTTAATTGCTTGTTTAACATACGTAGAGTGATTTTCCCGATTGTTTTATTTGTTTTAGTGTATCAAAACATAAAACAAACCTTAGTACTATAGTTCGGCCGCTTAGAAAATGACCTGCGCGCTAATGCAAAACCAATGCTGGAGGAGGTCGCTTTCTAAGCGGCCGAACTATAGTACTAAGTTTCAAGTTCCAAGGTTTCATATGTTTTGATAAGTAGTATTAAACTGTTAAAATGACGAGCTGCTGTACCAGTGTACTATCGGTACACTGCATTTTTCAATGGAAAGTATCGGGGAATATCACTGCTCTAAATAATTTTATATAGTAAGTAGTTCAAATCATTTGGTATACCTGAAAAAATACTTTATAAAAGTTTTAAAATAATTTTTCAGCTGTTCCTATGAATTTCTCTAACATTTAAATTAATTGAGATTTAATCGCAGCTGGTCCTTCTTTTGTTTTGATTTAAATCCCATGTTATTTAAATGGGTCAAAATCGTACTTTGAGGGCATGCCAAGGGTTTATGGGTCAACGCACCGACTTGAGACCCTCAAAAGGCACATCTACACGTTAAGGGCTTTCAAACAACATAAAAAACATTAAAATTGGGCCAGTGGTTTGGGCTGTAGGTCCGTCAACATTCAAGGAGGAGGAGAAGGAGAACACGGAAAATTTGTGAATTTTCAAACTAGTTTTTCTTGGCTCAAACACAACCGTTTTTTAAATTCTTTTTTTATTTTGTTGAGAATGAGTGCCCCTATCCAGTAGATGAATAATTATTTTAATAGATTTTGTTTCTTCAGAGCTATAGACGAGTAAAAAAGCCACTTTGTCACGTCATGTATATTATACACTGCAGCAGCTGTGTACCGCTGGGGGACTTGGCGGGGCGGAATGCTGCCGCGTTCTTAATCAATGTTTTGTTGATTCTAATTTATTTAAAGTGAATATTACACTCACACTAAGTTACTGGTTATGTTAATAGGTAAAGTAAATTAAAGTAGGCCTAAGCTATTTTATTAACACAACAACAACTTATTTTGGGAAACAAGAAAACTGCCATCTAAGTTAGTCGCAGAGAAAATAAATGTTACTAATGGCGGGCAAGATGGGTTAGGAAAACCAGTTCCAGTAGTCCAAGCGGTATTTGTTTACTTTAGGGGTTTTTAAAGAGAAAAATTGTTTTCTCATATTTTGAACACTTTTTACATTTGGCACTTTTGGGGCTGACGCCTATTTCACCCTGAAAATCGCAAATAATGCTAAGAGTCGGAGTTTATTTTCATTTTTTTTACTTTTATTAATGTGTTTTACCTTTTCGGCAACTGCCGCTTTTAATTAGAAAATCAAGTTTTAATAAATCATAAAAATACCAAACTTGCTGTAGTTCTAACACTTTCTAACACTCTAAAGTTGTGTTTGATGACAAAAATGGTAGCCTATTTGGGGAAGGCAGGTCAGACTTTATGCTGATTTGGGGGTAGCGGATTTTTATCCCGCTGGAATTTTACCCCCTGGGCAAACGTGACGTCACAAACCAGGGGGTAAAATTCTGGGGGCGAACTTTTGAATTTCGCGACATCAGCTCGAGGGATTAAACGCAGAATTAAGCATAGCCTATATTTTCACGGTTGTGAATTTAGTCAGAACACATCAAATTATAAAAACCTAGAATGTACGGCCCGGATTTTTACCCCCGGAATTTTACCCCTGGAATTTTACCCCTGGAGTTTTACCCCTGGATTTTTGCTTCGGAATTTTACCACCAGAATTTTACCCCCTCCGCCAGATATATAAATTAGTGAGAATGATTAATTATCTTCCTTCAGTTTTAATTTAATAGTGAACATTTTATTATTATGTAGGTAGCCTACGGTATTTTAATTTAGGCTATTTTTAACATTAACTCATTGAACAGGTTTTTAATTTTAATATTCGAGTATCAGGATTTGATCTTTGAAGCCAACTGTTGGTTAATATGATCAAAATAAAACAGCGAATTCTGTTTACTTAGTTGAGATTGCAAAATAAATATATAAAGATAGGCTACTAGGCCTAAATAATGAAATGTTTACAATTAATTAAACACAAAATAAGAAAATCAATCATTCAATTTCTAAATCGGCCAGGGGGTAAAATTCTGGGGGGTAAAAATCCAGGGGTAAAATTTCAGGGGGTAAAATACTGGGGGTAAAATTCCGGGGGTAAAAACCCAGGCCCCCGTACATCTTCAGTTCCGTTGTCTAAACGCTAGTTGTATGGACAGGGGGTAAAATTCTGGTTTTTATCTCTAGGCCTAATCTAATTAATCACACTCTGAGCTCTGATTAAGTAACTTAATTTTCATTAGACTTCCAAATACGCGGGGGTAAAACTCCGGCTGCGAACAAACTTTTGGCCACCCAGGTTACTAACTTACGTCATAGTGACGTCAGCTTTGCCCAGGGGGTAAAATTCCAGGGGGATATAATTCCGACGACCCCTGATTTGTGACTGCATTAACTTAAATAACTTAGGCCTAAGTCCTTTGAAGGTAGACCTACTTAGTTTAGATTAGGCTAGGTCAATTAAAATGTAGGTTTAAAAAGCTTATTGTGAACTAAGTTTTTTAATTCAAGCATTCTTGAGGCTGCACTTTACTTACTTTATGTCCTGCACTCATTCGAATGAAAATATCGATTAAACTTATTCGATTGTTTCATTCAATATAGGTATCGTTTGGTTAGCCAAACGATATAGGTAGGTACCGTATCCATCAATATTTTCATTCGGTTGTTTGTGCCAACGAATAAGTTATGGAAGTCTACCCCAAAAACAGACTGTATGTAATAGGGTAGTGTCTATTACATTTATATTTTGGTTTACTAACTTTATAACCTACCTAACTTACATTTAACCTTTCTACCTTCAGGTCAAACCTAACTTAATAAGACTTATAACAGTCACGAATCAGCATTTTAAACCTAGAGCTGGCACTAGTGTAACGCTGTACTGGCATAGGGATATTATTGATTATGTAATACCTATCATTTTTAAACCATCATAAAAATTAGAAATAGAAACATAACTATGGATTGTTATATATCATTTTGTTCAGAAGAAGACAAAGAACAATAATATAACTTAGGTGGTTTACATAGTTACCACAAAAAATTTTTTAGTTTTTCCAAATTGTAGGCCTAAGGTAGGGCCTATTAATTTTTGGCTGCACTTTACTTGACGTCCTACACTCATTCGATTGGTTTTTTCGATTCAATATTTTCATTTGATTCTTTCATTCGATATATTGTTTGGTTAGTTAGGTTAGGTTAACCTTACCTAACTAACCAAACGATATATCGAATGAAGCAATCGATTAATCGATATATCGATCGATGTTTTCATTCGAATGAGTGTAGGACGTCAAGTAAAGTGCAGCCTAATTTTTTTATAAAATGTTTTTATATTCCGTCGTATAGCTAATTGCATGTAAGACTTAAGTTATCATCATAAGGTAAATTGTAAAGTTGTGGTAAATTTTGTGCTGATTCCAAAAATGAGTTTATATAGCCTAGCTTATTTTGTGTAGGCTATTTTGTTTGATAGCCCTAAGTAACTTATTACTATGTCGATCGTACCCCCGCGCTAGTACCAAATAATCATCCAACCCAGGTCATGTACAAAACCGTACAACTTAAGTATAGGCCTATAATATATAATTCCAGGGTACTCTGGTTTGTATTATTTAACTTATTTATTACAACAGTAGCCCTAAAAAGTTAACAAAACTATAAAAAAAATTATATATAGGCCTAAGTTAACTTAACACCTGCATTGGCGCCGTATATCCGGCGTTGCCATTTCGGCCGCGGCCGTATATCCGGCGTTTGCCAGCGCTAGGGTTAAAGTAAAGTAAACAAATACCAAGCCTAAAACTGATCTAAACTAATAACCTTACCAAGGCCTAACATACCTGTTGCTTCTATGTGAATGACTGCGGTGACTAGAACGATGACCATGTGATCGAGACTTTTTTGATCTTGAGCTTTGTTCACTCAGAGCAGATTTAACAGACTCAGTCTCCATTGCTCGATTAATTGAACATTCCAAAAGATCATACATGGGTTGTGATTCGGAGTTCTGTGTATCTTCATTTATCTCTTATTCATGAATTTTCTTTTAGCCTGATAAAAATGTAGCCAAAGGCTACCAGTTAATATTCAAAATAACATTTCCAGCCAATTCTTCTTTATTCCGTAGTACTTCTCAGGAACTATTGTAACTTAGCCCTGGGAGGCTAATAAGAATGTCTAGCCTATGATTAGCCAAGCTCAGATTACCTTAAAGCTAGTTGCCGTAAAGCAGGCATAAGTTAGAACTAGAATGCTCAAAGAGAAATGTCAAATATGCAGAAATTAAAATACAACTTTAAAGCTATACGGTAGGCTAGGTTTTCTTATAAAGCACAGATACATTCACTACGAGGAGAACGCTGTTAGGTAGGCTACACACACTGAGAATGAAAAGCTAACACAAACACAAATAGCTGGGTAATAGACTTAAACTGTTGAGAAGTATGAATTTGAACTATTACAGAGTTAAACACCAATCAAGGACATAAAATTAACATTTCAACCAGAACTATAGACGGCAAGCAATATTAGTTTACAAACGTCAACGTCCTGTATCCGATCCCGATGATGCCCGAACCGAACGAAATGTCAATTTTCCTTTTCCTCCTTCTTCTTCATTGTAATTATAATTGACATTATTAACATTCCATCATGGAGTAAGGGACACCGAGTAAGGAGTTAGGGTTGCAATTAAATGTATACTATAAATTAAATGTATGTATAAAACACAATAGTTTTAACAGTGATTTAATTTTTATTTTAAACTAGCTGGCCCGACAGACTCCGTCCTGTCCTAGTGGTTTTTAGTGATGTGACGAGTTGAGTTGGCGAGTCGAGTTATATTGTTCTTCGAATAATGTGAACATGAAGACTAAAATAGCAAACGATTTCAATAAGTTCTTTACATCCACATCAGTAGGTTCTAAATTGGCCAACTCAATCAATGCAGCTGGGGCTCCAGTCGTAAACGACGCTGACTTCTCACTCGACACGAATTTCACATTCAACACGGTCACACACGCTGACATAGAACGTTACGTCCAGGGTCTGCGCGGGTAATATCTTCATTTCAACCCTTGAAATCGGTTAAACTCATCTTTTTTGCTGGAAATAATTTATGATTGTTAATACCAAGTATTCTTGATTGAGGATTATTGTAATGTAACTGGAATGTAGGTCTTCTATCATTATTGGGACGATTAGAGACGACATTTTAATACTGGCCTCAATAAAACCATTGGATACAGAAGATTTTGATTTAACATCTGGCTACAAATTTAACATGGGGATGGAATGTCTAGTTGTATTGATAGTCAGAGATAAAACATAGGCCTACGAAAAATGTAGGGCTATTTTAATGCAAGACTCAAATGTAAATCACCTTTAAAAGACTAAAATTAACTGAATTATCAATCAAGTATTTCAATGTGTAAAAACGTAAAAACTGCAAAAAGACTAACTTATTGAACAATAAAATAAGATGGCTGAAATGTAGGCCTAAACATAAGTAATTTAAACATCGCATTCAGCTGATTTAAGTGAAAACAGAATAATAATAAAAAGGGAAGACATGCCTTAAATATACAATGTAGATAATATAATTAGAAATTAGTAGCCTACTTATGGACAGGCCTAGACCGGGCCTAGACAATTATCCATACCGTGGTTAAAAGTGTACTTCTATAAGCCCATTGCGTACTACTGTACAAGTAGTGTACTGTAGAGTTTTACCGGACACCAATCAGCTGATGATACTGTATTTGGATGGCAATGAGTGGTTATCAAAAAAATAACCTCTCTTAGAGATTACTAGCTGTTACCCACGGGCTTCAACCCGTTTGACTTCATAAGTATTATAAAAAAACTATTGATTGGTTATAACAGAATACAGCATTACAAACAAATAATCACAACAGATTTTAATGAGGTAATAAATTGAAAGAATAACATACAAATAAGAACAGCTGAGGTATTTTTAACATTAAGTATATGGAAAGTTCTCTTTGGAAAGCAATTATGACCTTGAAAGGCAATTAATGAAAAAATGGATAATTTTGCGCAAGGTTTCTCGTCATGACGAACATTTTAAGTACATGGTTTATGGGGGTGTGACTTGTAGTTTTCTCAAAAGTTCTTGGGTACTTTTGGCTTTATATATAGATGAATAGTTTATATGGGATAGGCTACTGTTATCAACATTTGAAATTACTAAATTGTTACCAAATTACTGTTTCACAAAATGCAGATTACATTTTCAGCCGAGCCATTAAAATGAGGGTTTGCCGAACAATTATTAATATTACAGAATAGTATTTAATGATATACAACTTTTCACATTTCATAAATTATATGTTAGTTTTGCTATGGTCAAAGGTCCAAATCCAAATGTTCGTTTCTTTTGGTTTTTATGTAGTAATTTGCTAGAATCATTGACTTTATATAAAGTCAATGCTAGAATACTGTAGATGGTTTGATCGTTTCCCCGTTTAACCAACTATTCCTAAAGATAAATTTATATTGTGCAACAAAAATAAACAACCCGATCACCTACCTATAACCTACACTTTACCTTCCTAATCAAGCCTTACTTCAAAACACTTAATGTGGTCACGAATACTCATAAACCTCGACCTATACCTTCCCCACATGCCTAAATTAGATCAGTGTTCAATAATCTGCGTTTTATTAATAAGTGTGATAACTTACTTCTCCGTCGATGTAATTCAATATAATATAACCTGTGAGGTATTATTAGATTAAATATCGATTTCGATGCGGTTCGATATATCGCTTATTAAATCCTGATTTCTAGCATTGGCTGTTTCTAATCAGCTGGCAACACAAATAGGTGCCCAAGAGTAAGTAGGTTATATATCGATGGTGTGGCCCGGCCCCAGCTTTAAGACGGATTGCATTTATGACAAAACTTGATTATACGTATAAAATGTTTAGTTCAAAATTACTCAATCTCCTGATAACATCTTTTACAGTAGGAAATAAACTGCATTTTCAAGTGAAATAGTGTGAAGGCAAACTCTGAAGATTAATATTTTTGTATACAAACAACTTGTAACATAAACATTTCAATGACAGTTAGAAACCAGCTGTTAGTTAAACCACCACTAAAACGACTTAAACTCGTCCGTCGGCTGCTAGACTTTTTGAAAATTAAAACTTAATTTCTAAAAAACTGAAAACTTAAACTAAAATTATGGCTTTGACATTCCCTAGCTCTCAAAATTATCTTTCTTTCCATACAAAAATCATAAAAATCCGTCAAGTGGTTGATTCAGAATCGTGAAATAAAAACACCTTGTCACGTTTTAATATATAGGATGTATATCATGTCTTTCTTTATAGATCCCAACTATTGTTAGGATTATTAAAATAACGAGAAACTAAAATCTTTCAAATAAGAAAGTTCAAGCATTAATGTGAAACTAAACTTAAAACACGAGCATCGAAACGAATGTTGGAATTTTCTTTTGGTGGCTTAAATTTATTTTTAAAAAAATCTGGCAATCAGTAAAGATAATAAAAAAGTTTTATGAGTAGAGGTGTAAATAAACACTGAATAAATCATTCACGAAGTTTAATAACTTCACTTTGTTATTTATAATAGGTCAACAACAGTTTAGAAAATCGTTGTTGTCGGTTTTGACACCCCTGGGGCAGCCTTGGAACGCATTTGTGATAAGGCTAGAAAGCTTGTCCTTCACAATATCTTTGAACCTTCCTTCACTGTGGCGTCTATTGTCTGTTGAAAATCCACCCAATGTCATGTACATACTAAGATTACTTTCCTGTAAAGAAATTGTACAATAAGTTGAGAAATAACACAGTAAGATACTAGGCTAGGCCTAATGAGAAGACTGAGAAAATACTGACAGGTTAAAAAAGTAAAAATGTGTTTACTCTAAAAGGATAAAAGTCCGCTGTAACTTGATGCTGACTTTTACTAAACATTTTCTTAGAAAAGTACAGCGTGAGAATGACATTTGGTAACTTTCGAACGATTAAATCGTGTTTAAAGGTCAAACAAACGCTAATAGTCCGGGCAACGAATGCCCAAAAAGAATTCGGAACACAATTCCTTTCTTCACAGAATCGTCTTTCGTGTTAAAGGAAGTAAACTCTTAAAATATTAGTTGAACCGCCCGTAGCTCTTATGCCATAGAAAGAGGGCTTAAGGGTACTACTTTTTTCGCTAAAATCTCTGAAACTGTGCGTTCTAGCCTAATGACTGATCTATTTTAAATGAAAGCCTATTAAAAGATATTTTGAAATAACATATTTTATAGTTTTCGTGTTATCTGCTACTGAAAAATTTACGTAACAATTTACAGTATTTGCTTTTTGGAAATGCAGCATTGATTTTCATTTGCATTTTTTGTTGCCAATGAAGCCGCATGACAATATGAATGAGACCCCTCATTTTAAGAAGAAAAGACAGCTTCACTACAAGCTTTGACTTGTTGTCTTATTAATACAACAACTGTATCCAATAGTCGAAGCTACAAGTATATTCCACTACACCTAACATTCCGAAGATGTATTAATATATTGAACACTTGAAATTCATAATGCCGAGACACTGAGACAGCTGACATCCGCATGTCATGGAATCAAAGCTATGCAAAGAAATATTATTGCAAAATTAACAGGGTTATTCATTGGCACAGAAGTACGGTATGATGACCGACGCGACGTGACGAAGGAGAAATAAAACTTACACAGCTTTAGGGTGGGCCTCCTTTGAAGTAAGAACGTGTCTTCTCAACAAACAGAAATTAAAATAAAAAAACACACATATTTAATTTGCATAACACTGATGAAATCGCAGAATTGTGTACCACAAAAGATCCACTAATACGATTTTAATGCTATTTAAAGACTCTTTCAAATGCATTCTTTACATTATATTCATCAAAACGAAGAGAAACCAGTTAACATAGGAACAATCACTCCTATGACGAACGGTATAAGAAATATTTTATTCATTTAATGATCAACCATATTTTGTAACTAACGCAATAGTCATTATTGTTTCTACACCTATTTATTACTCATTAAACAATGCTAAATGCTCACATTTTTTTTTAATTTTACTCTTTTTGTTGCAGTTAGAAGAATTGCCGTAAGCCTTTAAAGCAACCGTCGATTTCGACGGGTTTCACCTAGTAATAACTACATCTCGTTGATTAACTCTCATATTATAGAGACGGTTGCGGTTTCCTTCTTTCTACCCGGCCAGTTAATGTTCGCCGTAGAGGCATTTCCGAATATGATACTTGAAAGTCACTTTAAATTTAAAATAAACACACACAGTAAAATAATCGAAATTTCAATAAACAAAAAGTAAGTAGCCTATATCATAATCGGAACAACACATAATCAGTGCAAAATAGGACTCACCACCACTGAGAGCTAAATTTGTTTATGTTATCATTTTTGAGCCATGACAGGTTTATGAATTAACTAGAAAAATGTAAACAATAGAACCATAAGGTATTTCTGAACTTTCTAGACTTTTCTTTTAAACTTTTTAAACCATTCCTATGATTTTAATAAACAAGAAAATGCCGTTAACACATTTTTAAGGTGCGGAATTCACTGAAAATTGAAGAATATACGGACTCAAGGTTGAAGTTCGTTCGCTACGCTCACTCACCTTTTGGTTGCAAATTGGCTGTAGCATAGCCGTCTCTAGTAATACTAGAGATGGCTATGGCTGTAGTCATAAATTTAAAATACCCCCGCCGCAGCAAACCTGCAGACTAAGCGAACAATTTTTTGGAATTTTCTCCGTAACCATTAGGCGCATTATAACGCTTCAATATACTAAATTATTTGTTTTTTTTAAGCTCTACAAAATTGTTTGGAAAGAAATTGCAAAATTTTATGTTTTTTGGGTCAAAAATGGGAAAAAACCCATTTTTACCCCATAAAAGCCCCCATAAACCCCCGTTTCCATGGTCCGATCATGCTGGTTCGCGAACTCGTTCGAATAAATGTAGGTTTACACGTTTGTACCAAATTTCATCAAAATCGGATCATTTTTGCTCGAGTTATCGCGCTAACGGACATATATATATATATATATATATGAATTTGAACGGATGGTGTTTTTGGCCTCTAGGAACCTCAAAACGAAAAAAAATCGGTCCCGGGTCCAGGTCTTACCATGAGTACTACGGTAATAGCTTATTCCCTATATGGGAAATTCGCTAAAAAAAATATAGTGCTGCACCATGTTGGTAATCCTTTTATAGCACAGAACCAAATTGTTTAATTGAAACAGCTGTTAAAAAAATTCCTTTTATATATGAAAAACCATAAGGTTAACATGGGAAACTCCAGAGCCACTGGGGCGGAGCCCGAAAGCCCGATCAGAATAAAAACTACTTAGTTTTCCTATTTAATGCCCAAAGAATCGGTGTACCGAATTTCAGCCTCCTAGGTAAATGGGAAGTGGGAGAATTAGTGATGAGTGAGTCAGTCAGTCAGTGAGGGCATTGCCTTTTATATATTTTGATGATAGCCCTTCATTTTTCGTAGGCCTATGTTTTATCTTTGACTATCAATACAACTAGACATTCCATCCCCATGTTAAATTTGTAGCCAGCTTTTTCATCAAAATCTTCTGTATCCAATGGCCAATGGTTTTATTAAGGTCAGTATTAAAATGCCGTCTCTAAATCGTCCTAGTAATGGTATATTTTTTCACCCCAAGAAAAGTAAAGAACACATGTGATTGGAATTTCTTTAATTTGTTTTTATTTTCCGCTTATATTTAGTTGTTATTTTCGTCACCAGCATGGCAACCCATAAGGCCCATGTTAAGTTTCTTGATTTACAATTAATTTTTACAGCTTATTTTTGAATCTATTTTAATTTATAAGGGTATTCTGCACATCTATTGGCAAATATAGTTCGAACAGTATGCGTAGATCTCTGAGATGCACACGAGCTGAGAAAAAAGGGTTTAAAGAAACAAACTTGCCTATCTATACTTACTAGAGGTCGTCCTGTGGTCGAGAAATCTACCAAAATATGCAATGTACAGACTTCTCAATCCCCCCCCCCCCTACACTGTAAATAAAACATGTGATTGGAATTTCTTCAATTCGTTTTGATTTTCTTTTCTTGCAGAGGATAGGCTACAGTGAGAATGTCTTGCACGGGTCGGCTAGCGCTAGATCATATACCTATTATGTTAAAGCGAACATACAACCAGAATTTCAGATTTTAGCGTGTAGGGATTTGATCATCACCAGTTAAACTCATAACTTAAATTATGATATAACGTTCGACATTAAATCAATCACCTCAATTGTCAAATCGCCCAGTAATCCTTTAACGACATCGTCGCATGTGTCCCAGTGTCTGTTCTCCATATATACTCTTTCCTGAGACAGTTCTGCACCAATTGATTGACCAAACCTTGGTTTTGATTCCAGTATTCATCTGTTAGACTTTCAATCAGGTTATTGTTTGTCACATCGTTTTGAATTTTTGAGCCTATATGAGACGTCAGTCCTCTCTTCAGATTCTGAATTTTCCCATCCTGAAATATCATATTGATTAATAAGACGAATAGTTTTGTTATGTATTACTATTTATTGTTATCAAGGCAATGAATAATTTATAATAGTAGGTGTATTTTTTTATGAAATGAAAATACTTTTTTATTGAAGTAAAAATTAGGGCCACATGGCCTTTTCTTACAGTTAACCTCTTATGTAAATATAAACTAATTAATATATTTTACCTAACCCGCCATGTTAAACTTTCCTATCCCAAGCGTGATGTATACTACTTCTTTACTTCACGAGTGATGAAAACTCACTCGGTGAGGTAATGAAACCCATTTAAATAACACTGGGTGCTTAACTTAAAAAATATACCTCCATGGAGCCAACGACGTTCAACGCTAGAAATCAGCTGTGCGCTTGAATTTTATTTATTTTATTTTACATTTCAACGGACAACTCCATTTTTTCAGTTTTGAACAATAAGAAAGAAAGAACTCAAGATACTGACGAACATGCATATAAATGTTTAACAAAAATAAATATGCTTAAATATGAAGTATATATGGCAATGACAAATGACAAAAGAATGAAAATGAGAATGAAAAGAATTTTGCAATGTGTAAAATTGTGGGGTCCCCTTCTGCCTTCTACCTTTTTAGCGAATTTCCCTATAGGGAAGTAGCTATTACCGTAGGTCTCATGGTAACACTTAGGCCCGGGACCGATTTACTTTTTCATTTTGATGTCCCCAGAGGCCAAAAACACCATTCGTTCAAATTTTTATATATGTATATATATATATATAAATATATATATATATAAATATATATATATATATATATGTGTGTGTGTCCGTGAACACGATAACTTGAGTAATTTTTATCCGATTTTGATGAAATTTGGTTTAAAGGTGTAAGGCGGGTGTACGGCGAATGAGTTCGCGATCCAGCATGATCGGACCATGGGAACAGGGTTTTATGGGTGGTTTTATGGGGTAAAAATTGGGTTTTCTCACTTTTGACCCTCAAAACACAAAATTTCCCAATTTTCCTCTAAACCTTCTTAAAGAGCTTAAAAAAACAAACAATTCAGTATATCAAAGTGTTTTTGTACGGTTATTGGTTACGGAGAAAACTAAAAAAATGGTCAATTTAAAATTCCCATGTTATTCTTATGGAGAATATTGTAAAATGTTGTAGTTTGCTTGTTTATGGATATCTTTTGATCAAACTTGGCAAATATATTCATTTTATAATAAGCAATAATTATTTTACTTAAAACACACACTTTATTAGTTTCCTTGTAGCAGCAAACCTAGGTACTCGTTAAACCTAATGTTATTTAAATAGATCAATTGAAAATCAATTCAGCCAAATGGAAATTCGCTAAGACAGCAGGTTTGCTGCGGCGGGGGTATTTTTTTTTTTTTTTTTATAGCAATATTTATTGAAGGGCAGATAAGGGGATTACAATGGTCCCTATGGGTTACATGCAGTTTAGAATGATGTTGACATACAGATGCATAACAAATGTTGTATAGTAATATTACATTTGAAACAGCTAGACAGTTAAGAAGTTATTCAGAGTGAAAATGTCTTCCCTCCGCTGCAGCATCTCCTAGACAGACAACTCATGCAGACTGGCGATCCTCCTCTTGAGCACTGGTATACTGTCCAAGAAAAAGTCAACGACGTCGGCGACGCTATTACCAGATCTCTGAAGTCGGTACATCGTGTCGTTTGCTGCATAGTTGGTACGATGTTGCTGCCTAGCGAACAGGTCTCTGGAGCGAGTGGCTGAAGGGGTCCTGAACAGGATCTGGCTCAGCATATCGGGACAGTCGATCGTGCCGTTAAGGATCTTTGACAGCAGTACAACGTCGGCTGAGAATCTGCGATCTGCAAGAGTTTGGAGTCCCAGATCACGAGATACTTCCTCGATGGGAACCTGACGATAGGGAAAACCGTTCCTGACACCCACCATTCGGAGAAATCTTCTTTGGATAGACTCTAGTTCCTCTATGAGAAACTTCTGGTGGGGGTTCCATGCTGGAGAGCCGTATTCAAGGATTTGGCGTACCAAAGCGCAGTACAAAGTCTTTAAGGCCGTGTCGCTTAAGCCTTTTGAGAAGCGGGAGACAAATCCGAGCATTTTGTTTTGCTTTATTGTTATGTTTTGAAGAATTTTCCTAACCTAGTTTTTGTTTGTAAATGAACGTTTCTGTCACAAGATTAGTGAAATGGATAATGAAAAATATTGTTCGTAACCTCCTGTATATTGTCGGGTCAGGTAAAATCTTGTACGTTACACGTTACGCAAGAGCTTGTTTAGGAGAATTATGCGTCCCTGCGTTATGTAAAAACGCTCTTACTACACTTGTAATGTAAATAGCTATTACAACACGTTTTTAAAATAAACAAAATTATAACCAAGAACTAAAGTAACAAAATGTTTGTCCCTAACATACGCATCCACACACGCATTCACTCTCTGCCACACCTAGGCCCAACACAAGCCATCCTGCCATAGCCACGGCCGTCCGATCGAGGTACAATTTAAATAGTACCACCATCGAAGTAGACCTATATAACACAACGACGTTGTTTTATATACTTCGATGAGTACCACAGACTATAGAATATGTAAAGGTTTACACTATAGTCTGTGGTAGTACAAACTGACTACCATGTAATAAATTGTGGATATTTATAGGGATGCACTGTGGATGCGATGCTCCCTGGTGTGGATTAATGTCCGCGCTAGTGAGTACTACGACTATCCGCAGTACTATCCTAATAAATAGACCAATTCGTTAATTACGAGGGAAAAAAGTGGTTCGGATTCCACTATAAACTGTAGTTCCCCTAGTTGCCATTAGCTGTATGGGCTATTAAATAACAGCTGTGTCTAAGGAACATGTCGGCCTTAGTCACTAACAAGACTACGAGATCGCGCCACTCATCCTACACTCATCATCCTACTAATATTATAAATGAGAAAGTTTGGATGTATGGATGTATGGATGTATGTTTGTGACAAGTGAACGCGAAAAATACTGGTCGGATTGGGCTGAAATTTGGCATGATGATAGCTCACATTCCCGATTAACATATAGGCATATTGTTATTTCAAAAATCCTTTCGGGCTCCGCCCCAGTGGCTCTGGAGTTTCCCATGTTAACCTTATGAGAAATGGAATTATTGAATCTTAACAGCTGTTTAAATTAAACAAGTTGGTTCTGTTCTATGATGTTCAATAGCATTAAAGTTACAAGGATTACCAACAGGGTGCAGCAATATTATTTCTTTTACAATTTATGACAACAGCTAATTTGGAACCAAATGGTGAGGGAGCGTAGCGAACGAACTTCAACCTGGAGGCGAGTTAGCGTAGCGAACGAGCTAACCTGAAGGCAAGTGAGCGCAGCGAACGAGCTTCAACCTAAAGGTGAGTGAGCGTAGCGAACGAGCTCCAACCTAAAGGTGAGTGAGTGTAGCGAACAAACTTCAACCAGGACGTGATTGAGCCATGCGAACGAGATAATTTTGAAAATTAAGAAGTTAAACGGGGCAAAGCCCGCGGGTTACAGCTAGTTCATTCATATTTGGGTTAAAATACGCACTTGATAATTGATTTACACTGCTGTAGTATGTACGCTTTCTGGCTTTCATCGCCACTATTAGTCTGGAGCGGGATTCTGTCATTCTGACTAAGGGAGTGTATTTTGTATGATTCTATGCACCTGATAGTGGAGGGTAGGGAGTTTTAAATTCGACATGATGTTACTGTAAAAGATATATTAATACCCCCGCCGCAGCAAACCTGCAGACTAAGCGAATTTCCATTTGACTGATTGGATTTACACTGAAATGTGTACTTAAAAATATAAAATGTATTCCCTATTTAAATAGAATTAGTTTAACAAGTACTTAGGTTTGCTGCATCAGGGAGGGTAAAACTGTTTTTTTTTTGTAAAATGTTAATAGTTAGAAGAAATAAAAACATTTTCCAAATTTGATCAAAATATGTTCATAAACAAGCAAACTACAACAGTTGACTTATTCTCCATAAGAATAACATGGGAATTTTAAATTTAAAATTTTTGGAATTTTCTCCGTAACTATTAGGCGCATAATAACACTTCAATATACTAAATTATTTGTTTTTTAGAGCTCTACAAAATGGTTTGGAAAGAAAATGCTAAATTTTATGTTTTTTTGGTCAAAAATGGGAAAAACCTATTTTTACCCCCATAAAACCCCCCGTAAACCCCCGTTCCCATGGTCCGATCATGCTGGATCGCGAACTCGTTCGAATAAACATAGGTTTACACGTTTGTACCAAATTTCATCAAAATCGGATCATTTTTGCTCGAGTTATCGTGCTAACGGACATATATATATATACATGAATTTGAACGGATGGTGATTTTAGCCTCTAGGGACCTCAAAACGAAAAAAAAAATCGGTCCCGCGTCCAGGTCTTCCCATGAGTACTACGGTAATAGCTTATTCCCTATATGGGAAATTCGCTAAAAACTAATTGTCTTGTGGCGAGGAATTTGGAGAGTTGATGAGCAGAAGTTGTCACTATTTAATATTATTATTTGAAGTTTTCACCGCTGCCAAGCAACTATTTATCGTTATTTTTGCTCATTCTCAAAATATTTCTTCACATAACCTTAAAGTTGTGTTGACTGTTTAGTGTGCATTATTATTGTGGTGAATAGTAATAGCGAAAAATTATTTTTTAGTACTGTACGGGGAAAAATAACGTTCGTACCACAGGCCGAAATGTGTTTGAAGCTCTCGACCGTTTTAAGTTCTTGACTACGTCTTGAACTTAAAAAACTATCTCGAGCCAGCAAATCCTAATTTTTCCCATAGGTACGAAATGTAGTTTTCCGTCATAGTGCAACAAAGACAACCGTTTTAATACATGCGATACGGGTCTAAAGTACTCCCTAGGGAGTAAAAGGCCATTTTAGTCCCTAGGAAGTAAAAGTCACCTGTTAGTTGTACACTCACCGCAT